TCTTGGCCAAGATTACCCAATATCGTGCCAATATTACGCCAATATTGTGTATATATACCTCTTTTTTTCATTTGTATCTGTTTCATATAACTTCAAATAAATTTAATGATTTCCGATTTTTTTTCTTCTTAAAGCGTGTTTCTATGATCATTGTTATCTCCTAGACTATAACCTGTTCAACTCAAATAAATAATTATGCCTAGTACTATAGTATCATTTAAACAAGAAAACTGTAATAAATTTTAATTTTATCAACATTTTGTAGAAGGCAATATTTTTTATTATATTATAATAATAAAAACTTAATCAAAAATACTCAATATGTTGCCTTAATATAGTTATATATATTATATATATCAGGATAATATTGTAAACTATATAACACCAATATTGGCCAGTATTATATCCCCATTATTGGCGCGATATTATAAACAATATTGGCGAAATATTTTAATCATTATCGCGCCAATATTGCAATGTGAATATTTTGGCAGTATTGAATTTACAGTATTGGCGCAATATTGTATCGCCAATATTGGCCAATATTGATTTTACAATATTGGCGCAATATTGTAGCGTCAATATTGGCGCTGCAATATTGGCCAATATTGTAGCGCCAATATGGGCCAATATTGTAGCGCCAATATGGGCTAATATTGTAGCGCCAATATTAGTCAATATTGGCCAATGTTGTAGCGCCAATAATGGCTAATATTGTAGCGCCAATATTGGTCAATATTGGCAAAATGTTCACAATGCAATATTGGCCTGATATAGTTTATAATATTGCGCTAATATTGTAAACAATATCGCCCCAATATTGCGCCAATATTGTTTGCTATTTGGGTAAATTATATATAGGGGAAGTGGGGGCATAACCGCCCCCGTAACGTTTGGAATAATGTTATATGAAAATAAAAACGAAATGTGTTTTTTAAGCAGTTTATTTCAATAACCACATCATTAAGCTTTAAATTGATGCATTTAAGAAAAAAATTAAACAGGTTTTGAAAATGTTATTACACAAAAATTACACTTAGTGAAAAAAACGGTTTGCCCCCATTGTGAGGCACAACCGTACCCTCAAAAAAATCGATGGGGCTACACCTTTCATGGTACATTTTTTTTACAATTTTCACAGCTCAGATTATTTGATGATTTTGTTGCATGTTTGCATATTGTGCAGGCATTCTTTGTGTTTACATTTTGAGTTCTGCCTCAGAAGAGAGTTCTATCCCAGAAGAGAGTTTTTAGAAAGAACTCAGTTTCATAGATTAATTATTAGATTATGGTATTATCAAAAATGACTTTCACTTCATGAAATAATGCTGATAACACATATTTTTAACACTAAAATTAAATGTTGCTTAATTCTCAAAAAGAAGGTCAGGAAAAATATGATGTAAATATAATACTTTTATCAAAATAAAAATTATTATTCACAACTTCTCAGAAACTTAACAGTCGCTCTTTTTGACATATGCAAAATGAAGGAAACTGTTTTACTAACTCGTGGTATGTTTTTTGTCATATTAGATAACATTTTTTGAAGAGAAATGTTAAAAAACGGTTGTGCCTCCATATGCAGTTATGCCCCCACTTCCCCTAATAATATTATATAATACAAATAATTATTTAATAGTTATAAAATAATTTTATAATACAAAATTATATAATAACAAATAATTATATAATACAAAAATTAAAAATAAAACAATATTATATATAGTTTTATTTTAATTTAAGTTATAAAACATATAATTTTTAATATGCACAGCTAATGTCTTACCATTAACAATGCTATAACAGTAATGTGGCTGTAGATTTACTTTATCAAACCAACAAACATAATACACTTAAGTTAATGTGTTTATTATAAGCACATAATCTTGTAAAAAAAAAGGAAAAAGAAGACCAACTAAGAATATCAAATATTCAAGATAATTTACAGATTTACACAAAAATTTAAAGAACCAATCTAATTCGAGATATACTAGTATTTTTGTTTAAGTTATAACAAAATGCAATATTGCTAACCAGCGAATTTCTCGTCGAATTCGCATCGATTTGAAAAGTTGCGTCCCAGTTTTTTAGTAGTCTCTGATAATGGCGGAAAAATGAGAAAATGCCAATATTTTTATCAGATGATAACTTTTTTTTTTTTTTTTTTAATGTTGATGTTTAGGTGCCCCAAGAAGTCCTTACGGTCTTATCACAGAGCACCGCGGAAGAGCATTTATTGCACGCCTCCTTCCCAACCGATGTCGCAAAACTTGCCCAGAGGCGGGGTTTGAACCACGGATCTTACGTTTCTGAGGCAAGTGTGCTACCACTGCGCAACGGCTGCTTATAACTGTTATATAACTTAAGAACTTTTATATATTTCTAAACAAAACTTTGACACAAGATTCTATTAAGAAAGGCCTACAACTTAAACTAAAAAAATGTTTATTATTTTTGCCTCGATTACTCTTAATATATTTAGTCAAAAAAAAAAAAAAAAATACAAAAAAGAATATTTCTTGATTTAAAAGTAAAGGCTCAAATGTTTTTAGCTTATGTTGCAAGTACAAGTCATAAAAACCCTGAAAATTCGATCACTCTTCATCTATAATTTAAAATTTGATCTAATACAAATGGAACTTAAAATATTGTCTAATACAAATGGAAAATTTGAAACCTCGATTTCAGATTTGTAATTACATCATCTTCTTATTTTCCCCATTTGTATAGCGTTATGCGCAAACGTCTTTAAGTGTAAATCTTTGCATATATTGATTTTGCAGGCAGTAGAAGCGGTATATAGAACAAATGTATAATATGAGAAAACTTTAAAATGTTATTTTTAAAATTAAAAGTTTTTTTTGCTGTATATGTTTTTTTGCTATAAATATATAAGGCAAAATTGAAATAAATTAAAAAATTATTACGCTATTGAGAGGATCCTAAAAGACGCTGTTAACAGCGCACTAAACCTCTGATCTATAAAAGATATGCTTTTAGGAAAAAAAAAGAAAACATGTAAATCTCTAATATGCTCCAGGTATGCGGAAAAGGCGCGCATGTTATTTTTTTTTTTTTTGCTCTTAAAGCAATTTTTGATAATGAATTTTTTTAATATAAACATTTTAGTAAATAAGTAATAAGTATAGAAATGACCGGTGTAGAATAATATTTTATATAAGGATATTATATAATATAAATATAAAATATATAAGGAAATATATATAATATAAAATTATATAAGGAAAATTATAGAAAAGGTCGGTGTGGAAATAGATTTACAAAGACCTGTATTTTTACGGGTTCGGTTAGCTAGTTTATATTTATTTCAAATCTGTTATTCAAGTTTAGAGGAAAGAGATTATTGTTAAATCGATACATGAAAATCGAATGCAGATAAATATTTATTTTAATCATCATTTTCATATCTTTTATTAAAGTTTTAACATGACTAACGCTTATCTATAGAGTAAATTTTATATTTTTCATGGTACAATATATAGCTATTTATTTCAATATCCAATTCATACTTAGATATATTTAGATATGAATAAATTAATATCTAAATATAATTTCTTGATATTATTGTTTGTAAGAGAAAGATTTCTACCGTCAGCAAGCATGACTGAGTTCAGTTTTAAGGTCACTTTAATGATTTATTAGGTGTGTGTGTTTAGGGGGTTATTTATTAGGTGTGTGTGTTTAGGGGGTTATGAACTTTGAAAACAAAAAAAAAGTAGTCTAAAAGTCACTAAAGACATCTTTAAATTTTTATTTTTAAGGACAAATTATGGAATTTGGTGTGAAGATGGATATCCTTATACCCTTACAAAATTCCATTGTAAATACAGTATTAAAATGTAATAATATCCATTATTCTTTCTCGTCTTTTTTTTAATGACTTTTTTATCTGGAGCACTTTTTAAGTAGAAAATTCGTCGTTCTCAAGCTCTATATCATTTTCATATTTAAAACAGGGCCGACAGCACGTGTTTTGAAGTGAAAAAAAAGAAAAGATCCTTTAGAAAAAAAGTGGGAGGGAAGGGGGCACGTGCCCCTCTGGTCCCCCTATGTCGGTAAAAGCACGTTAAATTACTTTTTGAAAACATGAGTGTGTTTACACACATGTGTATGTGTGCGTGAGTTTGTGTGAGTAAAGAGTTACAATCTGTTGTAAAAAGAGGGAGGGGTAGTGAGAAGGAAACGTCAAAAACACCGTACGTTTAATAATAAATAAAAAATTTCAGCCAGTTGTCATAAATTTAATTTCTAGCACCAAATAATCTAATTGCAATTGTATTTTACTTTTTTTATTTATAAATCTTAAAATCTTTTTTGATTTAATCTTTTATCAATTACTTTTTATGCGGCCGTGGTGCAGTGGTTAGAGTGCTTGCTTTATAAGCAGGAGATGTAGGTTCGAAACGAGCTTTGGACATATTTTCGCGTCACGGTAAGGAAGGAGGCGTGAACTTCCTGGTTAGATGCACTTCCGCGGTGCTCTGTGACAAAACCGTTAGGTCTTTTTGGGGCACCTAAAAAAAAATTTTTTTTTTACTTTTTCAAGTTTCAAATATTTATTCTTTTATTATACTTAAATACTTTCTTCGTGATTTACTTATATACTAATTTACTTTTCTTTTTAGTTAAAGACGTTAAATTGTGTTTCTGATTCACTATCAGAATTTAAATTTCTTTAATTTACTTACGTTAATTTTAATTTGTTTTTTAAAAGAAAAAAAAAAGTGTAAAAAGTGTATTTTTGTTTAATTACACATTATTAATAAATGATATCTTAAAACAGTATTTTATAAATGTAGTTAAAGAACATGTAACATAAATACAAATTTAAAATATATGAAAATATATTAGAGTTATGTGTAAATGCTTATTAACTAATAAAGTATGTTAACTTTTTTTTTAAAGTTTTTTTTAAGATGCTCAATATTTTATTAAATTTGTGGAATTAATTGAAAAAAGAAATCCGTTTTAATCTGTCCACAGTCATATATATTCTATTCACCAGTTTTACAGCTCTTTTGAATGTAAAGTGACTGCAATGAGATTCTTTATACGTATTTTGTTGCTTGTTTGTTTTTTGGCATTAATCACTTGGATATTCATTAACTACATAAAACGTTAGAAACATTGTTTTATTTTATGTTTATCTGATTTATTTACTTTTTTGTTTTCCTGTTAGTTATTAATTTTTTTATATTATAGTTCAATCTAACAACTTGTTTGAAACATCTTTTCATAAAAAAAATATGAGTAAAACATTCACCTTTAAAAAAAGTACAACTGAAAATGAAACAACAAACAAGGTTTACCGACTCGCTGTTGTTTGTTACATACCTTCGTCACCTAAAGAAGTACAAACTTTTTTAACTATGTTGTATGGCTCCTGGAGGTATATAAGTAATAAAAAAAATGAATTTAGTAAAACGCATTTTTTAGTAAACCACGTCAATCTTATAACATTTACGCATGTTGATAATATAATTATGCTAAAAAACATTTGTCAAAAGTATAATGCACGATTAGATAACGAAGATAATGACGAACGCTGCTGGTATATTCGACAAGATTATGAGATTAATATTGGCTATGATGCAATTAATTCCTTTATAATGTTTAATCGAACCGACATATACGAAATTTTAAACCCGTATAAATATATTATGCGCACCGACTACGATGTGTTTCTAACCCCAGCATTATACACATGGAAAGTTAAAAAAGATTTGGTGGTAGGAAGAGGGGGTTACAGTGTTTATTTTACTCATAAAAGATTAAAACAAATATCACTAAAGTTGAATATGACGCACAAAGGGGTTCATGATGTTGGTTCAACATGGTTTGGGGAACCAAAGTTGTTTATCAACTTAGCAAAAAAAGTTATAGAAAATACAGCTATGATATACTTAAATGAATTTAAACCCAACTTGCCCGGATTACGAAATCTCAAACTAAAAAAAAATATAAACGGAGTTTGGCCCCTGTGGTGGAAGCCAGTCTCTTTATTGTATGGTGCGGAAATTTCACTCAACCATTGGATTGACGATTTTTCCGTTTTGAACAAAGACTATTTAGATACATCTTCATGTTCTAATTCTAGCATATGGAACAGCCCACATATTCATTGTTGGCATAATGATTGTGAGTTCTACAAGTTTAGTTTCTTTGAGAAATTAAATGCAGTTCTTGGTACAAGTGAATATATTTCATCTTCTAATTTTCACCTTTTAGTCGACAATCTTTGCGATAAAGATGTATCAAAAATGACTATCAGTGAATACTCAACTTTTATTGCATGGAATTCAGTTGGAAAGCATATGAAAAAAATGGCTTATTTTAAAAAGAGATAAATTTTTATTAACATGTATCTATAAATTTTTCAAGCCTCTCCCCCTCTTACTTTAAGTATTTAATTTTAAGTTAACTTTTACTTTAGGTTCTTAAGTTAACAGTAAATGTCTTGATCATATGTTGTGATTTTATTTAAATTATCCATCATAATAAATTTGAGTTACATTATAATTATTAGATAATTAGTCGCATGAGATTGAATTAAACATTAATTTTAAAATTGCTAGTAAAAAGTAAACAGAAATTTAATAAAGTAACATAAGATTTATAAAGTAAGGTGAGATTGAAATAAACATTAACTTTAAAACAGTTAGTAAAAAGTAAACAGAAACTTTATAAAGTAACGTGAGATTTATAAAGTGAAATAACATGAGATGAGTATAAAAAGTAAAGTAACATGAAATAACATGAGATGAGTATAAAGAGTAAAGTAACATGAAATAACATGAGATGAGTATAAAGAGTAAAGAGTTACAGTACACAAAAGCAGCTTTTATACTCATATATATAACATCTTTCTAAATTGTTTCTAATAAAGCCAGGGGCGGATCTAGGGTATAGCCGTTGTGACTAAGGCTACACCTTAAAATAATCAACGAAATAAATAACGATATAATACTCCGGCATATTTTTAAGGTAAAAATAATATAATAATTAAGATAAGTTTGTTTTTATTTGCTGTGTAAATTCGGCTTTAAAAGCGATTAATCAAAACTAAAAAAAACCGTGCAAGCAATCAGCATCTATCAAGAAATATTCAAAAGCTTAAAAATAAAGGTGATGGTCTACTAAACCGGTACTAGCTGTCCGAGAAATAGTAATTTGGATACGTTCTCGAATTCCTTATTATGGACGCTGTTGCTTAGTTCGAGCAAGGACGTTTCCGTAATGTCGCTTACTAAAAACGCAAAGAAAAATAAAAAAATAAATGTAACGCAAAACTTGCTTTTGTTACAATAGGTAAAAGCATTTTGGCACTTGTAAAAAATCTGGGCATGGAAAGATTTTTGTACCTTTAAAAAATACAGGCGTGAAAAGTTTTTTGTACCTGTATAAAAAAATGATATTTATAGAAGCCCTAATCCTCTTTTCTATCTAGGGTGGGTGGACCCTTCTTTGTAAAACATTTTTCTCAAGTGTAAAAAAAAATCTACGTAAATAGTTTTAAAAAGCGAAAAAGCGGCTTGAAATACAAAATACAAAAATAAACCATTTTTTTAGAATCATCGTCTTAGAACATAGGTTGAGGTTATTCATCTCATACAAATATTTTATTAAAAAATATTTGTATAAATTTTGTGTTTTTATAAAGTATAAAGAAATCTGTTTACTTTTTACTAATAATTTAAATGAACAATGAAATCATGAATTATAATTAAAAAAAATTATTGATAAAACTGTTGTCTAGTACTTCTTTCCAATACTTTTTTTATTTCATATTGCAAACACGCAGTCAATTCTGGACTTGTCTTGAGTTTAAGAAATCAAATGAGCAATCGGTTAAGTCGGTATTAATAACCAGTCACCACCGAAGTTATGATATTGAAATTGAAAGTAAGTTTTTTAAATATCAACACTTTCAAAAGTTCGGTATTTGAACGGTATCTTGAAATTTTCGGTAAATTTTTAAATTATCGAAGATATAATTTAAAAATTTATTTATTTATTTATTATTTTTTTTTTTTTGTATATATTTAGGTGCTCCCAGAAGTTCTTACGGTCTTATCGTAGAGCACCGCGGGAGAGCATTTATACAATGTCGCTTGTTGGGCTAGAGATGGCGTCGAACCTCGGACCTTTGGGTTCTGAGCCAGAATTCTAACCACTGCGCCACGGCTGCATATAATAAGAACCTAACACTTCTTTTGTTTAAAAAGAACTTGCTATTTACAGTATTTAAACCAATTAACTTTACAAATGATCCACTTATTCTGCAAAATATCAGTGCCATCAATAAACAATTTTGATGAGACAAAAAGAAAGTTCGAATTAAAGAGATTTTCGAATTATAGAAAGCTGATTTTTTCTTAAGCGCTTTTCACGGTGATTTTGTATTAAATCGAATAATGGAGGTTTTTAAATTAAAGAGATTCGAATTAGAGAGATTGTACTGTATAATTCAATTTAAATAAAATTTTAATTGAGAATTATTTTAAATTAAATTTACATAATTTAATTTTAACAAAATGTCAAATGTTCAGGTAAAATTATTATGCTTTGAAGTTTTTTAATTTAGGACAAAATAGTTACTTTTAGTTAAATTTATTTCAAAAAATTCGTATAACTATTACCAATTTTTTTTTTTTTTTTTTTGGTATTGAATTTGGTAATAGCAAAAGGGACTTCGGTAGTGATGGGAACAATCAATGCCGATTTAACCAACGGATACACTGGACACGACATATACATAGACACATGCGACATATACATCGACACATACGACAAATCGCAGACTAGACGTTTTTTTAAACGACTTGAAGAAACTTTTGAGTTTGAATTCAAAATGGAATGCGGTTTGATGAGCTTTGATGTAATGTTTTTTTAAAAGTTTGTTTGTGTAGGATATTTTATATAATTACTTGTATTTGTTAGTCAATCGTATGCCATCATAAGACATTTGTGAAGTCTTAGTCGATGTTATTTTTATTTTCAGTAACTATGTATAAATACTATTTATTTATGACTTTTATTTTTAAGCTTGTTTAAACTGTTTGTTTTTTATATAACTTTTTAATTTAATTGCATAACTTAAATTCACGTTAATTATATTATTATTACGTGGTATTTATCTTAAGTGATGTTGGGATTTAGTGTACGGATTAATTGTTTATTCAGTTTAATAATTAAGAATAAATTGAATAAAACGAGTGAGCAAAAAAGTCTTGATAAATGTCAAAAAAAAAGAAAGAGAAAATCAGGAGGAGTTTGTCGCATAAAGAAAAAAGGAGATGAAATCATTTTCAAATTACCAAAAATGATAAGCTTTTTCTCTCACATTCAATTAAAAGATTCAAATCATTTTTAATTTTCAATTACTTAAATAAATCTGAAAAATTCTTAAATTTTAAAAGATCAGGAAAAATATCGCTCTTTACGCAAATCAGTCCCTTCTCCAGTTCTTAATAAAACTCAAAATAAAAATGCCTACACTTTGCTCCACGAATCGCAGGAAGTACAGACGCAAGAGCGCGTTGATTCTTTACATAGCTCAAAGGACCCTCGTGATGACCTAATGTTCAAACGACCCTCGTGACGACTACGCTGAACCTAAATCAAATAGTAATCAAAAAACAACAATTTCAACAATCCTGTTAATTGGAACCGTGGCTTGTTTTGATCGACCATATCTCGTCAAATCCACCTAAAATAAATATAGAAAAAATTCTCCTCCTCAGAGTACTGTGATTTTGGAGACAAATTTCGTCGAACTCATTAAGACCTGTTCTTTAGAATGAAAAACAAAGAAGGAAGAAAAGTATTTCGCAATTGGCTTCAATTTTTTGAACTGGCAACATGCTAAAACCTCTTTTAGTGAACCTGAGCAGACCATAGAGTACTTTCATGTCATTGTCGCATTTTTATCTCGGAAAAACCAGTCAAGGGAAGGATAGATTTAGAGTTTACCAAGCAATATAATACAAAAATAGAGTATTGGACCCAAGTTCTACGACAAACAAACGAAGTTATCAAGCATCTCTCTTCTAGGTTCGTGCGTGATGTATAGAAAATTTAAACACATAAATTTAAATTAATAGTTTTAAATACTTTAACTGAATCACACTTATCACGTGATATCATTGAATAGTTTAATCACACTTATCACGTAATAATGCAGCTTAAATTTTTTTCAAAATAGAAAATAATTAGATATTTTATTTATTGTTTATTCTTAGAGGATTATCGTTCCGCGAATCAGACGAAAAAATAGTATCACTACGCAACGGAAACTTTATTGGATGTATTGAGCTATTAGCAAAATTTAGTTTTTTTTCCTCGTCCAACACTTGATTACTCATGGGAACAAAGAAAAGGGAAGTATTTAGTACTTATCTAAAAACATATCTGAAGAACTCATACTCTTAATAGCCGCCTAGGTTTTGGAACTTATAGAAAATATGATCATCCTTAACTAACTTGTTATAGTATACATATGTAGCATACAATATTTTTTAATCATCGTTAATTCTACTCCCGATAAGTCACACATCGACAAACTCTGCTTTATTCTGCGTTTTGTTTTACAAAACGGAGAACCCGTTGAGCAGTTCTTAGGATTCATTCCAATGCATAATCAATTTGCAGTTTCCATGCTTGAAATCGTTTTAAAAAAGTTAGATTTAAATGGGATCAACATTCGAAATTGCCGTAACTAGTCATACGACAATGACAGTAATATGTCTGGAATCATCTTTGGTTTACAAGCAAGAATTAAAAAGATTAACGTTCTTGCCAAATACATTCCATGTGCTGCTTACTTTTTGAACTTCATAGAATCCAACTTCGGAATCCAACGGAACTGCTGTTAATTTCTTAAGCTTTCTTCAAGAAATTTATATCTGATGTTTGTTTAGCCATTTAAATAAGTTATTCTATTTAGTGATTAAGAATTATTTAGAAAATCAAATAGAAACTTACTTCATTTGTAATTGTGCATATTACTAACAAACATTGTCTATATAGAGGGTCTTCTTGATCTTAACGACAATACTACTCAAAAAGCAAAAAAAGCAAAGGCTTTTTACCCAAATGGAAGAATTTGAGACAGCTTTTTTAATAATTATTTGAAACAGAATTATGGAGAGGTTAAACAAAGTTAACAAGAAACTTCAGTCCGTGAAGCTTGATTTAGGTATGGTTGAAGAACTGTACAACTCCCTGGAGCATTATTTGCTGCAGGTTCGCTCCAATATAGTGCAATATGAAATAGAAACTGTGTCTTTGTTCATCACGGATGAATAGGCCTAAAATCAAAGTAGGCGTCCAAGAGAATGCAAGAGGCATTAAGATGAAATTATCAGAGTCTAAACTTCAGTTTTTTCTGGGCAATTAAATATGATTGCCGACATAATTGAGATCACGGAAAACTATGAACGATCTAGATAAAGAAAGCGTATTTTGGATTGAACTCTCTGTTTGGTTTTCTTGTGAATCTCCGTAGCATGGGTATCATGGATATCAAATTGTTCTGGAGAATGTTCATATTCAACATTGAAAAAGATCAAAACTGTCGCTCAACTGCAAGTAAATATACAACATAAAATATAATTATAATATAAAGAACTCTTTATTAATAAAAAAAAAATCTTTATTAACAGTAGGCTCGTATATTTTCCAATTTTTAAAGTTACATATAATCTATTCATTCATTATTTAATAAGTCAGGAACGTCATTCAGATCTTTTACTTGTTCAAATAATAAATCGGGTATTAGATTCCATCAATCTAGAAGATATCATATCTGCATTTTCAAGCTTAATATGCAGACAAAAGGTGTTTAAATCCTAAACTAATTGCAGCGTATTTTTAATAACAAATAACACGAGACGTTTGTTTAAATACAAAAGAAAATTTATTATAAAGCCATAGCGCAACAGCTACAAAGATTTTTTTAATTTAAATCGCTGTTAAATTTGAATACTAAGAGAACAACAGGACCAGAAGACCTAAAGTGTTGGGAGGCCTAGAAGTACTTAACCCGGCCCTGGGAATAACTTTCATTATTGGAAAAAATGTTTTCACTTTCAAACACTCGATATTGAAATTGAGTTTTTTGATATCGCACTTTCAATATGATTATTACCGATAGTTCGGTGATTTTTGATTCTTCACTAGTTAGGTAGTGATATCGTAATACTTTAGTTTGTATTATAATGTTCATGATAGTTGGGTATTGATTGAGCATTTTTTTATCTCCTGCATCCACTTAAACCTACGAAGTTGTTTATCATTTTTCCAAAAAAATAAGCTGGGCAAACAATGTTAAATTTTTAGGCTGAGTACACCATCCAGTCACGTATTTTTAATTTTTCCTTATTCCTTTTCTTCTTTTTTTTTTTTTTTTTATTCTTAACGAACATTGTTACATATTTCAATAAAAACACTATTTTTTAATAATATATATTTTACTAATTCTTATTTTACTAAATTTTAGTTTGTTTCATATTCTAAAGGTTCTCATTGAAAATATTTCTCTTACTGAGTCTCTCCCTTGTGTTTTTTATAGCATATATTATCTATATAATGTCTATAGAACTTCGAAAATGTTTTATTTTGTATTTTAAAAATTCTAAAAAAAGAAAAAAAATGGACGTGAGGATTTTAACCGCGGCGCTTAGCATCAGAAACGTAGCGAGCTAACCACTTTGGCCATTTATGTGTATTTTACGCCAAAAGTTTTATTAGTTTTATTAATAAACAAAAAACTTTATAAAACAGCAAATAAATCCTTTAAATCAAAACTAAGGAGATATTGCCGCAATGCACTTTTCAAGTAAAAGTTACTTTGTAAAACTTGATATATGTTTTAACATTACATAGTTGAAGTTTATATAAGTTTGATATTTGCATACACTTAGCAGCAGATCCAGGATTTTTTGATGTTTGAAATAGCTAGCTTCCAAGAAATTCCAACAAATTCCAAGAAAGCTTCCAGACATGGAACAAGCTCTTATTTATACTTAAGTCAAATATGCTTTGCATAAAAATTCTGATGATTGAAGCCTTGATAGTAACTTTTTCATAATTTTTTAGTAACTTCTCCGTTTCTGCTATTATACTTTTTTTGTTTCTCTTATTACACTTTTTTTTCGTTCTTCCGTTTCTGCTAGTATATATATTTTTTTTGTTCTTCAGTTTCTGCTAGTATACCTTTTTTATGTTTTTCAATTTCTGCAAATGTCCTTTTTTTTTTGCTTCAATTTCTGCTAGTAAATCTTTTTTTTTTTGCTCTTTTGTTTGTGCTAGTACACTTTTGTTTTCATTTTTATAATTTGCTTGAGATAATTTTTTCAATGTTTTTAATATTCATTTCTATATTTTTTGTTAAATTTTTAAATGCTCAATCAATACCCAACAATCATGAACATTATAATACAAACACTCAGACCGTTGACCTTGCTCTTGCTTGTTGCACAGAAGGAATCGAAGGTGCGATTTGTCTTTATTTTTGCATGATAAATAAATTTTCTCCATTACTTTGATCGCGCGCTCTGCGCATTGACTACTTCTGAGTATCTGTAGTATGGGTGGTTCTTGCTTCCAGTGATTTTTCAAAGAGCTTTAAGCCATTTTTCTATGGATTCAGTATTTCAGCCAAGTTAATAAAGTCGTTTTCGTTGTACGATTGGTCTGTAAACCAACGGTCTGCCCAGCCATACAATATAAATCGACGACTCTCTGCAGAACTGTCCTTTTTAAAGAAATTAGAATGAAGGCTAGGATTGCTAGTATAGCTCTGGAGTTCCACCTCGCATAGCTGATGTTGGGTATTTTCTGAAACCTGATCAATGGAAAATGTCCCTTTTCCTCAAAAAATCAGAACACTCAATTGAGATGAAACAAAAATTTCATATCATCTCTCCAACCTAATGTTTCGAGAATTACTTCTGTTTCGTTATCAAACTGTATTTTCAGTTGTTCGTACTCCTTCAACAGTTGAGATACAAATGGATATTCGATGTTTGGCGATTGTTTTACTTCCAAGTTTTTCATTTATCACCAAACGGAGGATTCTATCTAATACATGGTGTTGACAACTGATAAACTGAGGTTTGTTGATGCGTTTCTCTGTAAACATTCGTTGCAATATTACAACACCATTCTTTTTCCCATTCTTAACGCTGGTGGTATCTGCAACAATAACCGGTATTGAATTCCATAGGTGAAATTTATCGAGGACTTTAGAAATTGCTTGAGCAATAGTTAAAGCCCTGCCATCTACCAACCCAAGAACATCCAATTTGATTTCTCTTCTTTCATTTTTAAGGACGACCACTTGATAATCCATTCTGTCGATGTGCTTGCCATCAAAAGGCAAGGACCAACTTCCATATGCAACTTTTCAATCATTTCTCCGTTAAGCTTGATTGGCTTTTTGATTGTTGACTTGTAAATAGCTGATTGGAATTGGGATGTCAATGCCTTCACGAGCAATTGCTTGCATATGTTAGCAGCTTTGTTTGTTAATACTCTTGTGGAGGTCACCAAGTTGACTGCAATTTTGTTTTTATGTTTTCTGCTTATGGTAGGAGTTGTCCCATCTTCTTCTTCATTGTTATCATATTCACTGACTTCAGCCTCAGAGTCAGAATCACTAAAACCAGGATAGTAAGATGATGAGTTGGATGACTCATTAGAAAGTTTTTGTCTTTTAGAGGGATGGATCGTTTCTTTACTGGCCGTTTATCCTGTAGAGTATCCTACTGTTCCTTTGCTTTCCATTTGGAGATGGTACAATCGCTTGTCCTCGGAAAATAACCATGTTCTATCCACTTTAGTAATATCAAAAATTTCATCAAGAAGTTCGTAGCATCAAGGCTTGACACATTCATTGTAACATTTCAGTATTTTATCAAGCTTTGCTCGTATAACTTGATCAAATACACGAGGAAAACTCAGTTTATTATTCTACAATTTGGTGACTTCTTCGGAAATTTCCTCTATTCGCTCCTTTCTTTATTTGATTTTTGGTCCAAGGAAATGGTAGCGTCCAATAATTTGCCTTTGGCATTCTACACATTTCTTCCAGTGAATATTCTTCCTAAGGGACCATTCTATTTAATTCGTGAGAGGCTTTTAATTTTATCAGATTATTGGTCCGGACATTGATCCGTGTTCTCTGAATGCTATTATCGCTAGACTTGTACGCCGCCATGTGTTACTTCTGTAATAAGTATAAAATTAGATGAGTCTAAAATGTTCTAGAAAATTCAAGAATGTTCTAAATTGTTCTAGAATATTTTAAATTGTTCTAGAATGTTCTAGTATCTTCTAAAATATTCTGTTATTTTCAAAAATGTTCTAAAGTTCTAAACACTTCTTATCTATACAAGTTTTAAATGATTTGCAGGAAAGCCACACGTATTAGTAGAAGCAGTAACAAGATTAAATGACGAAACCTAATTTGAATTGCGGGGTGACCCTTTTTTACAATCTAGAGGAATTGAAAATGTTTTCTAATAAAAGTTCATCGATTTAAGACACAGGAAATTAATTTTTTTTAAAAAGTCATAACCCTAATATATATATATATATATATATATATATATATATATATATATATATATATATATATATATATATATATATATATATATATACATATATATATATATACATATATATATATATATATATATATATATACTATATATATATATATATATATATATATATATATATATATATATATATATATATATATATATATATATATATATTCTAGTTTTTGTAAAAATGTAGGTAGTTTCATGTAGTATAATTAGATTAGATTGAGTGTAATCAATATTTTTTTAAAAAAGTTCTATACATATTTACAAAAGATAGATTAAATTTTATTTTTAAATAATCTCGTTAACCATTATTTCGTTGTAACAACAAGAATTAATTACGCAAGTTACGTTAAGTACTATGCGTTGTATTCGATATTTTTTACGTCGAAAACAATACAACATTATACGTTGTAATCAATACGATAATCTTGAGCAAGATGTGTAGAGCTGCACGGAAAAAACCACTTTAGATAAGAACCTATAGATCAAATAAATATATATATTTTTATATAACAAAATAAACTATGACTTAATTTGTAGTTTTCTAAAATATTGACTAACTTTTTCATATTTATACATTAAAAAAAAAAAAAAAGGGAAAAAACTTCGCTCTGAATCTCATTTATTGGTTTGTCACTAAAGCTTCTATTAACACAAAGTATCATTAGCAAATAAAAACCAAGTGTAATAAATATTATGTAAAACAAATTTTAGAGTATAGAAGACAAATTTTGTTTTCGTTTTAAAGTTTTTTATTAAACATGGCCTTAATTGATTAGTAAGTATTTTCAGAGGTAGGGACAGGCATTACAGAAATTAGGATAATATAATATAACTAAAATTAAAAACATTTGTCTAGCCTGAGTTAAAACCTTTTAAGGTTTTAAAACTGTTTACAAACTTACATTTTAATATTGTCATACTTTATTTAAATCTGGGTTACCATGCGTCATGCTTTATACGCTCTTTGCTTATTGTTCAACTATGGCTTTTTTGTCAGTCAATGAGCGATGTATCACGTAAAAAAAGTGTCGCGCTACGCTAACTTAAAAAGATAATGAAAATTACGGAAATTCCGAAATGTTCTGGAAAGACCAAAACAGTTCTACAATGATTTATATGAAAGTAATAGTTGTAAACATCGATGCAGCATCAAAAACAGCTAATGCAACATTTGTTGCTGTTTGAGATAACTTATAGACATGGAGCAAACTCTAAACATTTATATGTTTATACTTATGTAGGGTTGCCAGACGTCCGGTTTTTACGAAGGAGAATACAGCGCCATTCACCCAGGGCATAGTAAAAATTGATTTTTGAAAGCTTTTACATTAAAAAAAAGAATAAATTTTGAACCTGTCCCAAATGTTTCTATGAGTAGTTGCTTTTTCATTTTAGTTGATTTTCCTTCTCTTTTAGTGCCAATTTCTATTGCTGTGACATCATAACATATTGAATAGAACTAAAAATTTCAAAAAAAAAAATAAAAAACAACAAAAGGAAAATTTTTATATTTAATACAAAACAACTTCACTGAAATTTTTTAATTTTTTTGCATAGAAGTAGTATTTCAGTATTAGTCTGGTCCTTGTGTGTGTCTATATACTATAGAGATACTTGTTTAATATTTAATTAGAAAACTCACTTCCACTAAAGCTTGTTACTTTTTATGAAAAAAAACTACAACAATTTCACTATGTTCAAATAATAATAATAAAAAAGAAAATCTAGCTAAAGTGCAACTATTTTTAATTCAAGTTTTTGCATGTGGGTCTTCTTACTAGATACCGAAAGAACCAAAAATCACGCCTATAAATTATTTAATGCAAATTTACTAGGTAATTTGAGACATCAGTTAAACTGTATAGGACGTAAAAACTTCATAAAAAAACAACTTTAAGACCTACATAACCTAATGTACTGATGCTTACCTACTGTACTGACATTTTTACCAACTTTAAAGTGACACATCAAAAAATTACTTCCAATAAACAACACCCTGCAAATTTTTTTTTAAGTATTGCTATATGAGTCTTTTTTTAATTAAATGAATTTTAAGATGTACAAATGCGCACTTTTCCATATAAAAAATATCAAATAAGTTAAATATTTTATATCAAATAAGTTAAATATTTGTCATCTCAAACTGTTTTCTATAGTCCCTTAAAGCGAAAGTAAGAAACATCAAAGTTTTTATTATTAAGTATAGTGTTTTGTCAATAACTATTATTACAATAACTATTATACAAATACAAGAATATTATGTCTGACTTTCATTTTAGTACTTTGTTACACCACCTTTTGTTTTTAAAACTGTTTCTAAACGTCATAGCACAATTTTCACAAGCTTTGACCTGACGTCATCACCGACTGAATTCCAAGATTTACTAAGAACCTCGTAAAACTCTTTTTTATTTTTTTAATTTAAAGGAGGTATTTTAGATGAAGTTAAAGATCCAGACCTTGCGACGACCATTTAAGGATGTTAAACTTTATTTTTTTCGGAAAATAAATAAATTTTCGGAAAGCAAATCAACATACAACTGTGCTGTCATTATACCTTCAACATACAACAGCTTTCTCACACCATTTAAAGCAAAGCATTACCAAACCATAAGTGAGCCAACCTCCATGCTTGACAGTTTTTTTAAGATTTCTATTTAGGAATGAATCACAAGGTCTGCATCAAAGTCTTTGTGGTATTTTAAAGCCAAAGATATTGAAATTTACTCTCATCAAACCATAACACTGATTTCCAAAATGTCTCACCATAGTTAATATGCGGTTTTGCAAATGCTAAACTTTTTTTTTTGTTTATACCACTGAGGAGTTTACTTTTCTGAAGACACTTTATTAAACCACTTGAATTAAGTTTTCTCTGTACTATTAGACAGAAAAAAATTAGTATAAGATTTTCAGCAATTTGTTTTGAGGTTATTGTTGAATTTTTCATTGCTACTCATGCAATTATCATATCAGTTCTTCTTGAAGTCTTATGGGAAGAACTAAGTCTTATCTGATTTTCAACAGAACCAATTCTTTTACATTTTATACACATATTTCTAACATTACTTATTAATATTTGATATTTTTCAGGACACTGTAGGTAAAGTCTTTTTTTTTGATAACACATATACAAATGCCTTATATGACCATGCATAAAGTATTTTGCTTGATAACTTGCTACTTGCATGTTTAAAGTTAGCACGATTAAAAAAGTGTGCTGAAAAATTTAAGGTAAACTAAAAATAGAAAAACTATAACCTGGAAAAGAGAAAAACAAACTAAAAAAATATACAAAACCAAACTAAAAAAATAAAAATCACAAGGAATTATAAAATGAATAAAAAACCAGAACAAATAAAAGCATAAAACTAGTATATGTTTTTGTTTAAATTTAAAAGTGATTCACTACAAAGAATTTAGAAAAAATTGAAGTTTTAAAGTTATTTATTCCAAGCTTAGTTACTTTAAAACTTAACTGTTTAAAAATTTGAAACTTTGATATTTTATAATGTATAAAAAGCAAATAAAAAAAAATTATTTGTTGGTAGGAATTCTCATCTAATGTCGACATAACAGTTGCGCCTCATAAATGACACAATTAATCAGCCTAAATGCTACATCAACGTGGCGATATAGAAAAAAAATATTAGCTTTAAATTATTAATTGCTTTCAAATTAATTAAGTTTGAACTATTAAGATGCTTCTAAATTAAAAAAGTTTTATTTTCTAAAAATTAAAAACTTTTATTTTCTCTGGTAAATCCTTTATTTATTTTATCATTCGTTAAGTTTGTTTCTTTTTTCAGTTTATGGTTTGTTTATTTTTAATTTTCTCTTTAAAATAGTTTGGTTTTTTCAGCGGATATCGATATATTCAAAGAACCAAAGTTATTTTAAAAAACTATAGTATTCGTGGTCATATAAGGTGTGCAATAAAAAGTTCAAGAGCTTTGACTAATTTAAATATCAGAGATTTTACCTTAAATATGAAGATATTTTAATTTACTTAAGGACATTACTTAAAAAAACAAAATATTTTGCTCTTCAAAATTCAACAAAAACCATGTTCATTTTAGCTCAATATTTGTAAAATATTAAATTATTAAAAAAAAAAATTAAAGACTGACCTGGTCATATAAAACACTTATAACAAACAAGCAGAATAAAAGACAAATCACAATCAATGCTATTAATCTGATTCTAAAGTAAAATAACACATTTTATAACTGACATATTCAAGCAATAAAATCAAACTAGTGTAAAGAATGTAAATAAATATTACTAAATGTTATAATAAATAATAATAATAATAAAACTGTAAAAATATTTTAACAAAAATTATCATATTTTCATAACAATTTTTTGACATATTTAAAGCAATTTTTTGACATATTTAAAGCAATTTGTATATATGTTATACTGTACGTATAACATATATACAAAAAAGTTAAACATACAAAAATGTTAAACCTGTAATTTTTTTGATTTTATATTTTGGTACTTAACAATAACAAAAAAAATTTGGCTCAAAATTTTTAGCTAAAGAAAAAAAAAAAATTATTTTTTCTTATTTGGTTATTCTAAGCTAACAACAAAAATATAATCAAACCTTGGCAAAGCCAAATAAACATTGTAACTGTTTTTTTTTTTTTTTTTAATTTTTTTTTAATTCTTTTTTAAATATTTGAAAAAATGAAATATAAAGTAATGACTTAATTAAATAGAAAATTTTTTGCATTTTTTTTTAAGAACTGTAATTTTTTAATGCTTTTATTTTCTTTTTATTATATACAATTTTTGTTTTTTTTGTTTTAGCAAATATTTAGGGATAGACACAGTGAGTGTAGATACATCAACAATTTACCCATAGATACAGCAGAGGGTATATATATTGACTGAGGGTTTTGGTTTGAACATGCAGTCTATTAATTTAAATTACTTATTTTAACTCTTTTATATCTGTACATGGAGTACTTACACTATGATAAAAAATAAAGCATACCAAGCAAAATACTGCTTATATATGTAATTTAATTTAATATTCTACAATTAAAGTTTGAAACTTCTATGAGGGTATATATGTAATTTAATGCTATTCTACAATTAAAGTTTGAAACTCCTATGAGCGAATATAAATAATTTAATTTAATATAATGTTATTTTAAAATAAAAGTTTGTAAGATCTATGAGCTTATATATGTAATTTAATTTTTATTCTACAATAAAACGAGAGTTAATCGAGGCCCAGTTATAGTAGACCAACGAACAATTGAACTAAACCATTTGACACATTTATTTTTGAATTGATCAACAAACTCTGAAGCAACAACGAAATCTGGGAGACTATTCCGCACCGCATAGACCACCAACTAAGTTATTGGCTGTTAATGGGCTGAGAGTAGGACTATAATATAGTTAAATTGAGAGTTTAACTATATTAAAGTTTTTGGAAATTTTAAAATATTGGATTAAGTCACCTCTTATTCTGTATTTTCATACAAAATTATCATACAAAGCTGTTAAACCCAACTTAGCTAAGCGTGATTTGTAACTCGCCTAACTTTGTAGCACGCCTCTGTACCTGTTCAAGTTGTTTAATGTCTTTTCTAAGGAGCGGATTTCAAATTAGTGCATAGTATTCAAGCAGAGAACAAACATAAGCTGTGTAGAGTTTGAACATACACACTTTCCTTTTTTTAAAGGTTCTCTTGAGCATTCCTAAAGCAATATTAGCCTTTTTAAAAAATTGTTGTGATGTTTGCCTGTTTCTAAACACAAGGAGCCAGGCTTTCCTTGAATGAATTTATAAACACAAATGAAATTGGTACACTAAAACTTCTGTTGCAGCCTACAATTCAATGATGGTATTCATCTGATTCAATACAATCGGATGAACATTATCAATACTAGTATCTTTGGTATTATCCAACTTAGAAAGGAGTAACTAAATTTTATTTGGATTTAAAGAAAACATCAGTTCACAACAGGCTTTAGTACAAAAGAAGAAATTTTGGATTAACTTGGTCAATGGTTGGTTTAGAGAAGGCTTTGAAAAACTGGTTGTTAAGACAATCAGCAATAGCTTTTTTAACAACTTCAATATCTACTAATTGTCTTTCTGCCTCGGAATGTCTTTCACTCTGCTTTTTTCCGGTTCTCATAGAAGCTACATCTTTAAAACAATCATCAATGCTAATGAATCCATTAGATGCTGGAGCTTTTACTATTGGAGCATCGTCAGAGTCAAAGTCAACAACATCTTGCGCTCCTTGCATTTCTTTCCATGCTTCTTCAACCCACTCCTTAATAACATTTTCATCTGCATGTTGATAAAGTAATTTATATCGTGGATCCAAAAATGTTGATACACATAACATTTTATTAAGTAAAAATTGATCAAGTCTTTTAGTAACAGATTTTATTAGTTCATCAATCATCGTCATAATCCCAGCGTATATATCACTTGATGAAGCTTTTTGTAATAAAACTTTTAATGCAAGAACAGATGGTATAATTTGTGCGCAAGTTTCGTCCCTTCTACCACATTTTTTTTGTTAAGTTTTCAAATGGAGCAAGAATGTAAACAAGTTTTTCGACTATTCCCCATTGATAATTAGTAGGAAGTTTAATTTCATCATATTCTGCTGCATAGGTGGCCAAAGGAACTTTTTGTTCAAGCGTTCTTTGTAGCATTTCAAATGAACTGTTCCAGCAAGTTGGAACATCTTGTTTCATTTTGTGAGGTACAGTACTTAACTGCTGCTGAATTGATTTTAATTTTGCACATGCTTTTGGCAAATGATTAAAATGTGTCGTTATTCCTCTGCATAAAGTTAAAATTTCCTTAATGGTTTCTTGGTTAAATATAGAGTCATGAATACATAGCTGCAAAGTATGGATAAAGCATGGAATTGATGACATTCCACTGTTTTTTACTGCAGCCTTCATATTGCTTGCATTATCGGTAACAATAAGATGAATTTTGCTTAACAGGATTTCAAAAGTTTCTAAACCTTTTTGTAAATACTCTATATATGAACACCTGTTTGCTTTTCCGGAAAATGAATTACTCGAAGAACAGCATTTTCTTAGGAAAATTTAATTAGATTTTTGCAGATCTGCTGTCCAAATATCTGTCGTCAGAGACAAATAGTTTGCCGCGGAGATTTTTATTTTTATATCTTTAAACAGTTCATCATACATGCTAGAGATTACGTTTTGGCTGAAATATGTTCTACATGGTAATTTGTAATTGGGGTAAGCATCTTTAATCAATTCATTAAACCCCGTATCTTCAACAATAGAAAATGGCTGAATATCCAATGTGATAAGTTTTCCTATTATTTTATGGATTCGAATAGATCTGTGGTCATCAATATTCCACTGTTTTTTTTTTTTATGTAAAGCCTGAATAATGTTACTTTGTACTGTATTGGTGGTAGAAGCAACTGAGGCTTCAGAAATAGACGGCAGTAATTGAACCTTTTTTTTCTTCTTCCACAAGTTCAAACACTTTGGAATACTTTAAACGCAAATGTTTTACCATTGCTGTAGCTCCATAAGACTTGAAAGATTTTCCTCCTCTCGTTACTAAACTATCACATAGTTTGCACTTACTCATATGAGGAGTCGTGCTTATATCAAAGAACTTCCACGCTATACTTTTTTTTGTCATAATTTTTCTTTCAAATAAAATTTCTATAAAGATAATGAAACTAGTTTTGATATCAAAGTTTTCGTTTATTTTATATAAAATGATAATTTTTTTAATAAAACGCTCGAAATTAAAATATGAAAAATGTGTATAATATTTACCTTATATCTCTACTTTTATGATTTTTGCTTGATAAGAAAGAAAAGTGCTATCAGCGTTCGAAAGCATTATAAGCGTTTCATTCAAAACTAAATTGCTAAAAATTATCTTGTGTTCTAACAGAATAAAAAGAAGCTATTCTAAAACATTTTTTTCCTATTCTTTTTATTCGTATTCTCGAATTATTTCATTTAGCATTACACATTTTGTATCCGTATAAATTTTTTTGCAAAAATGTATTAAAAAATATTTTAAGTGAAATTGTTTTAAGTTAATAGAACTTTGTGGTTATCGACTACATAACACTCTTAGACTTAAATCAAGGAGTTTAATGGTTAAAGTTTAAACTGAAGGAAAAATCAATTTGAAGATACCCGGTGCCAGGTACTGCAACAAAATGGCCGATACTGGATACCCGGTAAAACAGCTGAATTGCTGGGTTCCTTGAGTCCGAACTGGTCATGTCTCCAGAACAAATAATTTTTCAGTATTGTTATTTTTTCTAAAGGTTCTACGTACTAATATAGATAACAAATCAGCTTTTTTAAAAATGCCTATGCCGAGTTTTTCTGAAACCAATTTTTGGCGAAAAAAGTAATAATACTTATACATAATAATTTTTTACTTTTCGTATAATTATTTACACTAATATTTATACATAATAATTTATTTAGTAATAAAATTATCTTTAATGTCAGAATAGTCAACAATTAGTTTCATTTTGCAATACCTGAATACTTACCTATGATATGTTTTTTGACTTTCATTTTGATCAGGAATTGGATCACTCCAGCTAGTTGCTATTAAAATAAGCGCATGCAAACATGATAAGCCTAAAAAACATAAAGACATGATAAGCATAAAAAACATAAAAACATGATGTGGATAGAAAAGGCATGCAATCGCATTTGATACCTGTCCAAGCATTTAATTTTTTTTGACCACAGCATTTTAGATGTTTAAAAACGCTTTAAAAATGCACTGAAAAAACCCTACAAAAGAAAGAAAATTATAAACAAGCTATTAAAAAGGAAAGAAATCTAAATAAATTAAAAATTAAAAACTATAGCTTTAAAAAAAAAAAGTTAACTAATATTAAAAAAAAAAAGAAAAAAGAAAACTCTAATAGAAAATTATTTTTTGTTTATAATTATGTTAAGGTTGAATACTTTCAAAACTTTGATGTTTTCCAATGTTTTTTTAATATTAGGCTAATTCTTTTAAATAGAAAAAAACTTAAATCTAATGATCATTTAATAAAAGACAATCTTTATTAAAATTATCAAAACATTATTATATAATAAGTAAATTATAATAAATAAGACTTGATATGTGAGCATATTGCTTGTATGCAAGTACAAATAAGCCTAAAGTAAAATTATTATAATGCAATGAAAGTTTAAATACTTTAATTCACACACTTAAAAGTTGTCATAGATGATATTATAACGCAAGCTCTGAGGTCATTGTGAGTTTCTTGTTCAAACATTTTTATATAAACTTTTATTTAGAAAGTTTTTAACTTTCGAAGTAGTTTTATGTATTTTAACTATTGCATTGTATTATAATATTGTAACAGCATTATAGTAGCAGCCCGCAAAATTCAAGAGATTTAAGGTGGGCACAAGAGTGCCGTACTTGACCGATACCAGATCGTCAAAAAATTTATTTTGATTTTTTGCTTTCTATTACAAAAGGGGCAATGATTATTCGATTATAAAAGCATTGCTTTATGAGAGCATAGCTATAGAAAAAAATATTTTAAAAAACATAGCAACTAAACTTTATGAAAGTATATAAATTTATGAATTAGTGATCTTTTAGTTTCTAAGTTGATTTTAAACAAAAAAAAAAAATTGTTGGAATTGTTATTATTGTGACTTTTTTACTTAGCTTCACTTAATTTTAAGACAGCTGTTGCCTATGTATGAGAATGTAAAATACGGTCTAAAAAGTTATTCTTTTTTATGACAGATGTTCCCCGTGCAAACGTTTCTGTTACAGCCTTTATTTTTGTGACAATTTTGAAAAGTTCTGAATATTATCAGCAAATTTTACACCAAATTAAAGTTACTTATCTGAATTAATTGCTTAAAAGCTGCAGGATCTCAGAATCTCTATTTTTTCTAAATAACAGTTCTGTTAGGCATTATGACTTGTTTTGATTTGATTTGTGTAACACTGCCACGCCTCTTACTTTAATGAAAAACTTAACTTGTATAAAATTTAAAAAAAGTTAAAAATTTTTTAATTAAAATGTTTTTTCTCCACGTGTGTTTAACATAACAGACATTTGAAAAGTAATTTTTATTAACTTTTAAATGAATTAATAACCTTGCTATGCTTGAATAAACTTGAGAAAAAATCAAAAAATGATTTTAAAAAAAAAAAAAAGGATTTTTTATTAGATAAAACTTGTTAAACCTGAATTTTGCAGGTTGTAGTAGTGATGAAAGCAGCAGCAATGATGATTTTCTACCTCAGAGTCAGACTATTAAACATTTTATATATGTATATACTTTTCAACATAATACAATTTTTATAAAAAGTTTATTGAAACAAATTTGTTGTTGATGTTGTATATAAATTGTATACAAGTTGTATATAATATAATAAAATTAAGAATACAAATTGCTTTAAAACATTTACACTCATCATTAAAAAAAAATACTTTTGAAATAAAAACTTTGTTTAATTTGCTAGGATAATTTATTTATTAGCGTTTTAAAATTTTATTTTAAAACGTTTAGTCTAGTGTAAAATTATTTCATTAGAAAGTTTACAAAGCATAACAAAAAATAACTTTATGTTTTCAAAAAACGAATTTATGTATTCATCAAAAATTTTATTTAAACAATTGTTTTTATTGTTTTTTATAAAATTTACTCTACAAATTGTTTTAAAAACATTTACATTCATTCATCGTAAAAAATACATTTTTTAACTATATAATATCTTTTGATACTTTATTTTAGCGCATTCTCACTTTATTACCTTATACTTTATTTCAGCGCATTTTTGAAATGTTTTCAAAAATCTAAAAAGCTGTGGTCAAGTTGTAGCAAAAAAAAATTAAATGTTTGATCAGAAATGTTGTGCCATCGCACACCTGTCAAAAACTAATGTTAAGCCTAAAAACATAAAAACATGACAAGTCTACAAAACATAAAAACATGACAAGTCTACAAAATACAAAAACATGACAAGTCTACAAAACATAAAAAGATGATAAGCCTAAAAACACAAAAGCATTACAAGCCTATAAAATAATTATTTATTTTAAAAGACAGTCAATCTAAGATATTTTAGTATTTAGAATTGATTCCAATGTAACTTTCTGAGTAACTTTAAATATTGTTTAATTTTTTTTTTGTTACTTTCTCCTGAGCTTCAGCAATTGGAGCTTAGAAAAAGAAACTTTATTATGCATAGCATATTATATAAAGTACCTAGACATATTGACTGCAAAAATAATGACGCAAGAAAAAAAATGATAATTTTTTCAAATAAAAAATAACTTAGCACCTGTATAAAAAAGAAAAAGTATGAAGTATTTTTGGTTCCTTTCCCCAACACAATTGTTTATCCTAAAAATAATAATAATTTGTAGACTATATAATAAATTAGAAACAATATCTTCAAAAAGATTATAATCAAAACTTACCAAGGGCAGTGATGATCCATTTTGCGCACACATCTTCTACAAACTCTAGAGGTATAAAAAATTTAAAGCAATTTTCTTATAATATACTTTTTCAATATTTACACTTCCACAAGGCTACAAGCAACTATTATTAGAGTTGGAAGTTACCAGAAAAGAAAAGATGAATTTTATAGAGCAAGATGATAAACAGACTACTTGAATAATTTATTCACTTATTGATTTTTTAACAAGAATTAAATTATTTCACATTATTAGTTACTCAAAAGATGTGAAAACTAATGTGTATTTAAAATTTATAAAGTTTCTTTTGGAAAATCAGCTTTTAAAAAAAAAAGACAGGATTAAAGGAAATCCATGACGTAGAGACTGGATTAAAGCAATCCATAACATTGAAGTTGTTCCAATTTCTAGTTTGATCCAAAAAAGAGAAGAGAAAAGATAATAATATTATCATCTACGATATAGAGCTTGATAACTATATTGAAAAAATAAATTATGACACTAAACCACCTAATAATAAGTCTAGCATTTCTAAATATTTTTGACACAATATTTTTAAAGCAATATTTTTAAACTTTTTATTTTCAATTAAAACAGTACAAAACTTAATTTAAATACTGAACTTGAAACAAAAATAAAATAAAATTTAAATTTTTATATAAAAAAACAACAAGCTTGACTTGAACAAAGTGAACATATTTCATACCAAAATCCAACATCAGACGAACAAAATAAATTTTTTTCAGACTTATCTTAAATAGTAATGTAACTCTTTAAAAAGTTGAAACTTAATTCACTCATGCTTGATGTTGAAGGACCATCTTTATTTTGTGCTTATAAAGCACAAAATAATAAAAAATAATAACTTCACTATAGCACACTTGGTTTAGTTTTAAACACATCAATACCATTACTTGGTTTAGTTTACACATTAACTTGGTTTAGTAACACATTAAATTGGTAAATAATAAAAACCAGCTGAGGCAACTTTTTATCTCATGACTGGGTGATTGAGGCAACTAACTTTTTATCTCATGACTGGGTGATTTTGTATTAGACAGATTACTATATTAGCATAAACTTGTATCAGAAACTTAAACCTGGTGGTTATACTCTTGCTGACCTTGTGCTGATTCTTATGACTTACTGCTGTTCGATAACTATTGTGTTTTTTTATGTGTAAAATAATATTATATGTAAAATAATTGTTTCTTTAGGTTATATATTTATTAATTTGCTGAATAAAGCTTTCTATACCAGCTTGAGTTTTAATTTACTATTATTAATTCACTACACCAGGACCCGATGCAAAATGTTCTTGAATAGAGGAATTTGATGTATAAAATGTTTCCTGTTAATTATATGACTGTGAAGATTACTCAATTTGTTAGATAAAACCATGTTGAATATGAATGCCTTCGATCATAATATGAGTGTAGTTTATTAATGTAAATTTATATAATCATGGTGGCCAGCAAATTTTCATGTTCATTTTCCATGACTTTTCCTTAAAACTTTAACATACAAAGCAACAAAAAATTTCAAATAGCCCTATACTTTTACCCAAAAACATAAATTTGCTTTAGTGTTCTCATAGACTTTTAAATAATGATGTTGTTATAAGACTTTTTTGCAATCTTTTTTTTAAATTGCCAATTTAAATAATAACTTATAGTTTGCAACTAAATCAATTGAAATTCAAAAGAGTTTTGCATACTTTATTTAATTTCCTGACTTTATTAGGATGACCAAGTTGCTGGCCACCCTGATTATTTATAATCAATAAAATTAAATTTATAGAAAAGTATTATATTATTATTTACAGATGAAAAATCTAAATACATTTTATAGTAGGGTATTAATTTAAATTTGTTTTGTATAAAAATCTTTTCATCACCTTTTTGTACTTTACTGAACTCATTTTGTTCCAACACAAGTGTAAAGTTTTTAAAATAAGCTAACTTTTTAACAATTCTACAATTTTTCTATAACTAGGTCTTTATCATTTGCTACTAACTTTTCTACCATTTTTGGTAGATTTGTTTTAATATTTTCTCTGTACATGTATGTGCGCACATGTTGTTTATAAAAAGATTTGAAGTTGCACAGAAAGTAATCTATTAGGTGCTGAACCAAAAACAGAAAAACACTTATTTAATTGCATGAAAAAACTTTAATTAGCATGGAGATGCTTATAGATATGAGAATTTTTGTCCCTTTTGTAGTGTTCAAATATCTGCATCTTGAGATGACATGTAGTTTTGCCTATATAACAGGAGTTACATCATGCACATACACATTTATAGAACAAGAACAAATCGAACTCTAGAGGATTAGAATATTTAGAAGAAAAAAACTTAGAAATTCTTAGTGAGGTAAATACTAATTTAACATTTGCAGAATGACAATATCTTTTAGCAATTGAATTCAGTCTTATTTTTAGTTAAACCAGATATTTTCCCTAAAATGGTAGTTCAAAATAAGACAAGGATTTTTTGATGTTTGTTTGTGGTGAAGTGTTTGTGTTAATCTTGTTTAAATAGGAGTTATATATTTTTAAAATTAGTTAAGATGAGTACATGTTTCTTTGAAATAGAAGAGTTTGTTTATGTCGGAATTACCCCTAGTTAATAAATAAAGATAAAATTTTTAGTCTTCAACCCAAGTTTAGAACTAATAATTTTATACGTACAATCAATTAAGCACTTGATTAGACTAACTCTGTACAAAAATGAACAAACTATAAAAAGTGAAACTATAAAAATTAGTGTGAAGACCAGAATAGGATTTTTTAAATCAATATGCCATCAATATATTGTTTATATAAAACTGGTTTTACACCATCAAAATTTTTTTAAATTCATTTATACTCAAAATGACCCATGAACAATTTGGACAAAACAGGAGCTAGTGGAGAACCCATTGCTACACCATGGATTTGATCATAAGTTTGTCCTTTAAAAAGAAAATGTATTTGCAAAGTGGCAAATTGGAATAGATTTTTTAAATAGTAATAAAAAGCTCAAAGGAGAGATCCAAATTTAAAAGCCTTACTCAGAAACTTGCAAGCGTGTCATTTCTTAAAAACCTGCCATTAATGTATGATCCATTTATAGAGCTCAAATCAACTTCAGAATTTTTACAATTAAAAAATATCACACTTGCAAAAACAATTCAAGTTATCTCTTGACTCATATCTATCTTCGAAGGGAGAAAGTTTGGAGGAGTCAAACTGGCCATTGAAAATGATATTTTCCAAGATGTGATTGTATCAGAAGGTAAAAATCAAACTTTAATTGATCAGGCCACTTTCACATAGAGAACCTGTTGATGAAAATCATAAAATAATCCAATCAGTGCAATGCTTTGAACCATATTCATGGCCACAAAATCAATAAAATGAAATACAAATTTCCCAAGAATATAAAGAAACTCTTCTGAAAGGATTTTGCAATTTTCTGCTTGATGATTTTTCATTAAAAAAGGAGTTTCATGACTTCAAGGAATATTTTAATGGTCAAGAACATGTATTCATTTCATAAAATCAAATTTTTCAAACATTGGAGTGACTCAGATTGCTAAGATTAAACCATTCGTCATCAATAATCATACCTGTTAGCAATGCAGAGTGTGAAAGGGGCTTTTCAATCATGAACACTATCTATACAGATGTAAAAAGCATATTGTCAATATAACATATATCATCAATTATTTTGGAAATAGCTTAATAGTAAAAATCAAGTAATTTAATGTTTTTATTATGGAGCAAAATTAAATTAACTGGAATTTTAAAGGTTTCTTGAGATGGAACATTGATATATAAGCTGGTTACGTCATATGAAACTAAATGATGTTTATGGAGATTGATTTGACTTATTTCTTTAACAAAGGAAAATGAATCTTATGTACAAAACTTGACGTTTATTAATGGAGATAATAAATCTCTAAGAAACTTGGCTAGTAGGTTATTATAGATTCCAATAGATAATACAATGGGTTTAAAGTTTATGGGTTTTATTTTATTTAGTCTTAGAAGAATTTGATTTATGCATCTTTGGAAGTCTACATATACAAACAGAATTTTTTTTACATATAACAAAAATGAACAATTTTCGGAAAGGAAAGAAGGGGAAGGAATATTTTCTAGTAGAAATTTAACAACTTATTTTCAACAGTTTTAACAATTTCTTTTTCTATTAATGAAAAGCAAAAGTTTAGGCAAGTATAATGCTAATATTAATGAGGAGCAGTGATGTAGTGGTTAGTACAAGTAAGCAACCAGGATTGATATTTAACGGGGGTTCTGGCCAGGGCCAGGTTTGATAAAATATAGCCGGGGCTAGTGCAGGGGGTTTAGTGCAGGGGCTGGTTTTGTGATCAGGACTGTATAAACATTTACACATGCTAAAGTTTTTTTTATTCAAAATTCATGTTGTATATTGTATATATATGCATATATAAACATCATTATAATCAACATGATCATCATAATCATCATTACCATCATCTTCATCATCATCATCATCATCATCATCATCATCATCATCATCATCATCATCATCATCATCATCATCATCATTATTATGATCATGATCATCATCTGATCAAAAGTTAAAAGGAATAAAAGTTTGGAAGCTTTTATTCCTTTCATTAATCATTTTTCATACTTATTACTAAAACATGTCTATTAAGAACAAATGCCCTTTTAATATTTCAAGTAGCCAATCTAAAAATGTCCTGTCTAATGTTAAGCTCTTTTATTCTCAGTTTACTAAGTCTTGCATCTTATCTCAGATGTTATATTCTATAGACTTAATCTTCAACAGTGTCATTAACTAAAGTAAGTCTAACATTTAATCTCTATTTCATGGGTCTGATCTTTTTACTTCTCTCCAGGATAAAGCAGATTTATTTGCAAAGAAATCTTACTCTAACTTGACTCTTGAATCTTATGGCCATACTCTTTCTGCCAGTTAAACAGATTAACTTAATGTTAAACATCCAAATCACTCTGGCTTCCAATGCTAAAGTTAATTCTCAATTAAACACTTCTACAGTTTGCGCTCCAGACGAGATTTCCATCATAGTCTTAAAAAAATATTCTCTAGAACTCTCTTCAATTTTTGCTAATTTTTAAAAAAGTGCTAAATAAATAATTATAATTTTTCAAAACTCTAGAAAACACATTGACTTCTCAAACTCTCCTATGATTAGTCATCACTTGGTTATTAGTTTCAAGAAGGTTTATTAATTTAATAATCTCAAAGGTTTTGAGATTATTAAATTATTTCTTTTTAACTGCAGTATTTCTTAATAAGTTATTCTTGAAGGCCTACACTCTTCTTTATTTCAAGTAACTTTAAGGGTACCACAAGGTTCTGCTCCTGTAGTGTTTCTAATCTACAATATCAATCTCCATGAAAATTTTACATCTAAAGTGACTCTATTTGCTGACAACTCAACTTCATACTCTAGTCTTGACAAAAAATTTTAACTTTTTGATTGTTTAGAACAAGCAGTCAAATTTTAATCTGATCTTTTTTCTGTAACAGCTTAAGGCTTGCAGTGTCTTATGGACTCAAATTCTGGATTTCAAATCCACAATTTTTGTTAGACAACAAAACTCATTTACATACTGCAAAAAAATATTACAATTTTGGCATTCCTATATTGATGAATAACAACCCTCTTACTCTCAGACAAAGTCTAAAAGCAGATTGTAAATGCAATTAGACCTGCTTTGTCTGCCAAGCTAGAGCCACTTTAACTTACCCACCTTAAACTCTTACCCACCTTTATGCTTTCCCTTTTTATACAACCTACAACTTTTTTAGTCTTCAGTTAACCATTTCCTAGTATTTTAACTTATTCTCTATTTTAGAGTAACTCATAACTTAATAGTGATTGCTTGCAATCTTGTTGGAAGTAAATTAGAGTTTAAAAATATATAAATACATGCCAGTATTTAAAAAATAGTAAATGTAAGCATAAAATTATAATACAAAAAGTATTATAAACTTTTTTCTAGCCCCGGCTATCAACCCTTGCTAAATCTAATAATTTTGCTGGAGCCGGGGCCAGGGATGGGTTTGCAACAATTCTCATTTTTAGCTGGGGACAGGGACAGGGCCGGGGCGCCGTAGTTACTAGTAAGTGTATGCTTCAGAATCAAGAGGTTTGTGGTTCAATGCCAGCTTTAGCCATATTTGCAACATTAGTAAAGAAGAAGGCATGAACTTATTAGCTAAATGCTCCTCATGGATGTTTTGTGACAAAACCATAAGAACGTCTTGAAGCACTTTGATTACCGCATAAAAAGAAACCAAACTCAGTTTGGCATTAAATTTAAAAGTGAACTATGATGCTTTAGAAGTTGAAAAAAACCGTAGACTAAAAAAGCAAAAATTTTTAAAAAGATATCTTTTTTGTTTGTTTTTTCTTGTTAAATTTTGAAGAGGATTATTAAAACACAAAGAAGCTATGCAAAAGACTATGAAAACACAAAAAAACCATACATAGAACAATAAAAACATAAAAAAGCAATACATAGGACTTTAAAAACACATAAAAAAAACATTCATAGGACTATAAAAATGTGGTAATTGGATAATTCAACACAGACAATTTGTTGTGGACATTTAGGTGCTGATAATTTGTTGTGATGATATAAATCATGACATAAATACATTGATTGAGGGTTTGCTTTAGATGAGCAATCTTAATGCCAACCCAAAATATTAGTTAAAAATCGTCATGCATCATCCAATTCACGAGGTAAAATGACAAGTTCAAATGGTTCATGTAAAAAAAGCGCATCTAGTAGTATATCAGTAAAAATTTATATATTTGGTTTTTTGCTACAAATTATCTGATTATTTTGCGCCAGGTTGTCCCCATAGCATTGTTCTACAACAAATAGCCTGCAATATATTGTCCAGCAACAAATTGTCTTTCGACAAATTGTCTTGCAATAAATTGTTTGAAAAACAAAAATGTATAGAAGCTATGCACAGTGTTATTAACACATAAAAAGCTAGGCAGTAGACTATGAAATCACAAAAAATTTAAGTAAACTCCCTTAAAATTTCAACATATTTTAAAATCTAACCTACAGTGATGTGATCTAGGTGGTCGAAACAATTCACATTGTCTGCATACAGTCCAGTCATCATCATTCTAAACAATAAAAATAATAATTTATATATTTGGTTTTTTGCTACAAATTATCTGATTATTTTGCGCCAGGTTGTCCCAATAGCATTGTTCTACAACAAATAGCTACAAATAGCATCAATGACTAACAATTGATTCAAAAGGCTTAAACAGTTTTAAAAGAAAAAAAGTTTTAAATTGTTACAAAAAAAAATTTTAAAAACCAGACAAGGGCGTATACTCAGAATTTCCGTTGGTCGCCAGAAAGGCGACTAAAAGTAACCAATTTGTTAATTTGGTTGCCTGACAATTTTTTGAGTTGCTTAACACTATTTTTTATAAAAATTTTTGCATTTAGCAGCTTTCTCACATATTTTAGTCATTTTTTATTATAGGGCTAAGTGTAGACTAGAAATAATTTGCGTAAATAAAAGTAATATTGTAAATTAGTGATAACATTCACTTTTCTACTTTCATATAAAGCACATGCAAAAATGTATGCCATTAGGTTTTTCACTTTAATTGAGCGCTTACTTTATCATAAAAAAATACACGCTCTCTTTTACAGCAACAAAGTATTGACAAATATAAAAAAACAATTTACAAATACTTTAAAACCCTTTGCTTTTAATGTGTTGTAATCATTAAGATCATATGTGTTACATGAGTTTAGAAACTAATAATATTCTGAAAGTATTTTAAAGTATCACACTGTAATTAAATTCAATTTTAATTCTTGCTAAAAATTATTTAAGCTAATTTAACAAAAAATTATTAATAGAATCTAAATTAGGCATTTGAAAAAAATTATATTAAAAATTTATTTCTTAAAACAATATTATAGTTAACATAATTGTTACAATTTATTTACATTATTTTTACTATTTAAACATATTTTTAATAAAGATTATAAACAATTTATAGATATTTTATCAGTTGCCAATAAGATATTTGTAAACGTAATTTTAATAAAGATTATAAACAATTTATAGATAGATTTTATCAGTTGCCAATAAGATATTTGTAAACGTAATTTATGTTCATAAAGGTATTATGTAAAAAGAACATTAAACAATATTGAATTAATAAGAAACAAAAAATACATTTGTGAAAAGAATATATTTTCTGAATAAACATCACATAAACGATATTAAAAGATAATTTAAATATTCCTGAAAAAAAAAAATTTTTTTTGCCTAACTGAACACTTTTATCTCTAAATCCTTAAATAAAATTTGTAAAAAAATAAAAATAAAATAATATTTCTGTTTAAACAATAAACTTTTTAGCTTTTGTTTAGGAAGTATTTTATTAAATATGTTAAAAGGCTTGTACAATATTCTTAGGTTTTAATTAACAAAATATGGAAAACAAACTTAAACACTCTGACTTGATAACAAAATGATAACAAAATGATAACAAAACTGAAAGTTTTGTTATCATTTTAGATAATAATTAGTTACTTTTCTTTTTATAGAATTTTTGTATTAAAAAAAAAAAACTAGAACTGCTATTTTAGTTACTCTTCACAAAATTTGGTCATCTGATCATTTGGTCAGGCAACCACGAGTGAACACCTCTGACAGATAAAATTAATTATAATTTTACAAAAATTTAATAATTTTCCTAAACTAATATAAACAAAAATTAACCTAAAAAATTTTCAAAAAATTAAAAATATTAAGTTACTGTTTGTTCAAAAAGTTAGGTTAGGCAAAAAATTTATATTCGATAAAACATCACTGCAGATGCTGGTGACTGGTTAAGTAAAACTAATCTGTGAATATTGCTATTCAGTTTTGCAGAGCTTCAAGTATTTTGAGTGTTCTTTGAAACAACTAGATTTGATGATAGTTTTCTTAAAGCATTGATAAATGACTGGCCTGGAATGTCATACAAACAAACATTGTTTACTGTCACTAACATGACTTAATAAGTGTGTAAAGATAAAAGTCAAAAACAGGTAAAGGCAAAAGTCAAGAACAGGTAAACTTTTGTGCCATACTGTTTCATATAAAATCACTGGAGTTTAAACTTTCAAATTTTTTTTTTTATGAACCACCTTTATACACAATCATATTATCAAAAACTCCATTAGTATAAATTAGAAGGAAAAAGTAAAACAACTTTAGCATTGTTCAAATTTTTAGATATTTATAAAGGTTTAGATATAGCTTAATACAACTTTATATCAAAGTTCAAAACCTAATCTAAACTTTCAAAAAATATTTTTTTAAATCACATAAAACTTAAAAAAAAAATGCATCATCTGCCTCCTCAAGATCAAAAGGTCTGTTATAGAAGAGATTGCTTTTTTTTAAAAAAGTTAAAAACCTCTATTAATCCTATGAAACAGAAACAAAATCCTTACCTAACTATATAATATGCAGAAAAAAATTGAGCCCTGTACCCAGTGGAGTGTTAGCCCTAGAGGCTATGCGGGAATCCCATATGGGCCTTAAGCTTTTTATGTTATAAAGGTTTTTTCAAAAAAAAAATTTTTTATTTTTTTTATTTAAATGATCAGCAAATAGTTTCTTATTCACTTCCAGACCACCCCGTAAAGTGGTTGATTTTATGTTTTTTTGATTTAGTGCTGACCATCTAGTAAGAGACTAGTAAGAGGTGGATCCTGACCATCTAGTAAGAGACTAGTAAGAAGTGGATCCTGACCATCTAGTAAGAGACTAGGAAGAGGTGGATCCAGACCATCTAGTAAGAGACTAGTAAGAGGTGGATCCTGACCATCTAGTAAGAGACTAGTAAGAGGTGGATCCTGACCATCTAGTAAGAGACTAGTATGAGGTGGATCCTGACCATCTAGTAAGAGACTAGTAAGAGGTGGATCCTGACAATCTGTGACCATCTAGTAAGAGACTAGTAAGAGGTGAATCCTGACCATCTGTGACCATCTAGTAAGAGGGAGATTATTAGATTATAGGATTTGTGGGCAGAAAAAAATTATTTAAAACGACAAAAAGAAAAAAAAAAGTCTAATTAATGCTTTTAAATGTTGATGGACATTAACAAAAACACAATTTTTTTTGTATAAACAATATTACCAATTAAATTATTTTGTATAACCTTTTATTTAAAATAGCAACAGGCACTGTTTTCGGAACAAAAGTGAAACACTTAAAGAATTTCTAGATTTACAAGTTATCAGGCAAATTTTTAATCTCAAAAATTATACATTAATTTTTCTATGTTCTCCTAAACATTTGACCTTCATTTGAAACCTATCATTACATTTTTAAACAATAATCTTAATGCTGATAAAAACCAGATCTTTTTATAACGAAATGTAACACTAGTTACTTTAAGTTAAATGTCATTTTAAAAAAACTATATATTTATGGACCTTCAAATTAAGCATATGCTAAAATTCTGCAAATGTAGGGGTTTTTAGAAAAATCCCACATGCACCACTAAGAGTGGGATGATCTCCATCATCCCATTCTTAGTGATGCAGGCAGTGGCCACTGCCTGCATCACTAAGAATGGTATGATGGAGATCATTATCATTGAAAATATCCTGAAAATTAAACTAAACAAAATTTAAATTAATTTTTAATTAAGTAAATAAATTTGAAAGCAATGCAATACAAAATAGTTATTTATGAAAAAAAAACATTTTATTGAAGTAACATTTATAAAAATAGTTTTTTAAAAAAGGTTTTCTAAATTTTTAGAAAACCACTAAAAACATACTAACCAAATTTTTCTTGCGACTACTTCTACGAGTTTCTGAAAAGTCTACAGCTATCTCTGGAAAAGGAACATAACCTGTAAAAAAGATTTTCGAAACTAAATTAGATTTATATAAATTTAAAATATGAAATAACAAAACAAAAAACAAAAACAAAAAAAAAATTTCTTTTTTATTAAATGTACTTTATAAATTAGTCAATTCAATAATATAAAGATCTAGTAATAACATAAAATTATAGTAATAACATTAAAATAAAACTAGATGTATAAAAAAATCCATGCTGCCATTTTGCTCAATTCTGATCTATGGTAATTCTGGGGTAGAAAAAAAAAATATGAATAAAAAATGTAATTTTGTTGCACAAGTAAAACTTGTAAATAAAATTTATATTAATGTGGCAGGTAAGACACCAATGTGGTAATGGAGACAATTACCTAGAAATAAAATTCTTATCTAAAACCCCTAATTTAATTGTGGTCAATGAGAGATTAAGCTTATAAACCTTTGATGGTAATCTTCCAAATGGTCACAATAAAAATACTTCAACATAATCTGTAAAATATGTTAACTAAAAGAAAAGGTTGTAAAAAATGCTTCAAAATAAAAAAAGTCATATTTTATAAGAAAATGGCATTACGGAAATACTCGAACTATGCAGCTGTGGAACCATGGACATTATACTTTAAAAAGAAACATGTGTGTGAACCAGTGAACATAAAGTAAGTTAAACAACATAAAATAACTAATATTAAAAAAAACTTTAATAATTTTAAGAATAAATATGCCAATTCAAATATTAGTTGTTTTTTTTAAAGGATTTATTATACCCATGATATTTTAGAAAAAACTTGAACCATTATGTTAGGAAGTTAAAAAAAAAAATTCTTGTATAAAAACATACCTGGGTCTGTAAGCATAGCTTTGACATGAGAGTAGAAAAGCAAAAACAGTAAAGCATTAAATACCACAACATGAAGACATCCTGAAATACTACATGTTTTGCTGGATGAAATTTATTTTAAAATTTATTAAAAAAATAAATCAGATTTTAAAATTTATTTTTAATACCTGTCTCCGTGCTGTGGAACCACTATTTCTGCAAGAACAACATAGTCAGCATATATTATACTACTATATGTAATTAACAAACATATTATTCCACATGGATCTTTTAGAAAAAAAAAAGCCATTCATTCAAATTTCAACAAGCACTCTCGTAAATTTTTTCACTCATTTTTTCTATTATCTAAATAATAAACTTTGTTTAATTAATGGCAAAAAATGTTTATGAAAGTTGCAGATAGAAATAAAAAAAAATATCAAAACCTGCATCCTAGCAACAATAGTATTTAAGACATAATATAACTAGTATTTGTAAATAGTGTTGTGAAAAATATTAGAATTAACAACTTAAATAGAATCAAACAATGGTTTTGTGTAAAATTATTTGTAAACTTTTTATGTTGTTGTTTTTATATTGTTGTTTATACCAAACATTTCATTCTACATGCTTTGGTTTAAAAAAATTTTCAATACATTTCGGTGTGCCATTTTTAATTTTTAGGACATACTTCTTTTATTTCAGGATCATATACACCATGGGAAATGACACAGGTTTTGAAGTGGAAAGGCATAACCATCATTTTTCTTAAAAAAAAAAAAAAAAAATGTCCTTTTAGAAAAAATGTGCCAACCCCCCCCCCCCCACACACACACACACACACACACAAACACGCCTGGTTTCGTTGGCCTTGTACACATACATTTAATAACAACATCATTGAGACTTTGCAATTTTATCTATCCTGTGAAGTTTTTTGTATGTTGATTATTTTTATATTTTGAATTGAATTCTTATTCACCAGTTAAGTAAAAATTCACCAGTTAAGAATTTAATTCAAAATCAAAAGATAATTTCTAGACCATGGAAAATTTGAAATTTTCTTGTTTTTATAAAGTTTTTATAACTTTTTATAACCAACAGAGGATTCACTCTGGCTAAAATACGTTGCTACCATTATAAATTATGAACTCATGATTTTTTTTTAAAATGATTTTTTAAAAATGATAAACATGATTTTTTTAAAAAATCTACGTTGCATATGAGAAAATATGAGCATAGAGCAACAACCCAATAAACTGGTGCAATAAAACTCGGGTGCAGTTTTAGTTGGTGGTTACGAATAGTGGGTGCAGTGGATAAAATAACAACTTACACAACTGTTAGAAACCTTCATTTTTTTATTTTATTTCTTGCACCTAAATTAATCAAAATAGTAAGATTCTATTATGATCAATTTTTCAATTGGAAACTGAACATTTTAGAGTCGATTTCAGTATTATATAAAATTTTTTGGGACAGTATAAAGTTAAAATTTTTCTTTGTAATTTCTAAAAGTAACTATTTAAAATGACATAATTTTTTTTTTTACTTCAAAAAAATCATCAAATATTGTAGATGATTCTAATATTTTTCACACCACTGTATATAAATATTGTAGTTAATATTTAAATAAAAATATTTAGTATTCACTGACAGTACTAATTTCAAAGTTCTTTGAAAATATTTGCATTTCTTAAACAATTATATAAAATTTTATTTCATTATGGTTAAACAATTAACACCTAAAACTCATAGGAGCTTCGGTAGCATTATGGGAAACCATTCAAACAAGGAAAACACTGTGTTAATAAAACAAAGCATGACAACAACAATAATTAAATTTTTACATCTAAAATTTTATCTGTATTTCTAACAGGAATATTAGTTAGCAAATTTATAACAGAGAGAGAAAGGAGGTTGTAATGGTAAAGTAATCAAATATAGATTTAAAAAAATAATTTTATAATAAACTATTTATTTTTTAAAATATTATAATTACAATTCTGCAAAAAATATAATTAATGCTATCTGATTATTAAAATTTCTTTTTTTTTTTAATTAAAATTTCTTTATAAAATATAAGTCGAAAAAAAAAAAAGAAAAGAAGAAGCAAAACCTTAAGCTCTAAGATATATAAACAAAACAAAAACTAATGTAAATGCAACTTAATATAAACTATGCACATAATTTAATATAATTTATGCACATAATTTAATGTTAATTATGTTAATAAAGAGAGCGCATTTTCAGTATCATTCAACATTAGGAAAAATTTCATTTATTTAAATGTTAAAATTTAAAATCTAAACTATAAATTTCTGCTAAAATCAAAAACAACATAAACTTATAGAAAACAAAACATACTCATCAAAATAAAAACAACGCATAATCACAAAAAAAAAAAAAAAAAAAAAACATATACTCATTAAAATAAAATTAACTTATCATAAAATCAACTTACACTCAAAATAATAAGCCAAAACAAAATATAAAATTAATATTCATAAAAGAGAAAGAACTGTTACAAAGACAACTTGCATTATAAAATAGTTTTTTGAAATGTATTACTTTTAAATTCATATATCAAAAAACCAATAAAAGCATATAAAATGTTGAATTTCTTTTATTTATTTTTTTATATTGTTATATTATAAGACAAACATCTACAATTTTATAACTAAATAATTTATTTTTGCTATTTTGCTTCACCATTTTTTTGTTGCGAATTGTTTTCTGATATCTTATTTTGATTTAAACAATTTTGATTTAAAGTGTTTTACAATAAAATGAAATTTATAGATTTGGATATTCTTATTTATATATTAATCAATTTATATAATTTTAATAATAAACCAAACTAAAAAAAAAAAAAAATAGATTTATACTCTTTAGTTTTCGCTTGTAGGATTATTTTCATCACTTGGTAAAGCATCGTCATCACTTGGTGCAATATTTGTACTTTGCATAACATCATTTAGACGTTTCATTATGTTTTCAAATTTATCTTTTCCAGTATAATCAGGGATACCAGCCTCCCATTTTTGTCGACGATCATCTGAATCATCAACAGTGTTTTCTACATTCAGTGGAGGTAGTTCAGACTGATTTAAAGACAATGATAAGTTTGAAGTTGTAGATAAATTTGAAACCTAAATGTAAAAAACCAGCATAAAAATTATAAAAAAAATTAAATTATCAAAACAGTTTATTGAAGGAAATAGGTGGGGGCATAGTTAGAGCAAGAAAAAGATTTTTATTTCATATTGATATGAAACATAACTTTTGTATTTCAAAAATAATTACTGCTGTTTTATCACTGGTATGTTTGAATATACAGAGATATTCAAATACAAAATGGTCATGGTAACTTTTTTTAAATTTGATTCTTTTTAGACTAATCAATAACAAAAGAAATGAAAACTTTTAAACAAGCAAATCTCTGATCTTTTGTTATTTCTCAGGCAAAAATTTTAGAAGATCAAAAAACCTTAATCATTTAGATTATGGATTTGCTGCATGTATTATATTTTTGCTGACATACCTTATCAGATACACTATTCATAACCTCTGTCTAAAACCATCGCTTCTCTTCTTATCCTTAAGATCACACAACACAACAATATTGGAGGCATGTGGTGTATAACATTCCTTTAGTATGTAATGATGACACTCTTGCTGTTAGTAGAAGAGATAATTCTTATAATATGGTCCGGACACATCTTGATCTTGCCTATTAAGCCTCTGTTTTTCTAGATAACTAAATTTACCAACACATTCTAACTTCTAACACAGTGTCCGGCACTGTTTGTTTCAATATCTTTTTTGACTTCTTCACTGAATTGAACAAAAGTTTTACACTCAAAACTAAAAATACAAGAAAGCATATTCCTAAATCTCTTGTGAAGCGATTGCTTAAAAACTGTAAGCAATTGGCTTTTATTACAGGTTTTTATCTGTGCTAGTCCACTAACCTTATTCATACATATTTCTATATATACAGATAAACTTTTAATCCAATTAAACCAGCAATTTTTCAAAACACTTTCAAAACATAAAAACAGTTTACAAAACATTAAAAAAAAATAATTGTTATTATCATCATGAGGAGAATAAATCTTTTACGAAAATAAAATTTTTACACCAAGAGACCAAAGATCAATCGCTCGTTTAATTGCTGAAATTTAATTTCAGCAATTAAAAATATGTATTATATATGTAATATATAATACATATTTTTATATATACAGATAAACTTTTAATCCAATTAAACTTTTAAAATTAAAATTCAGCAATTTTTCAAAACGATCTCAACTTTATTTGTTAGTATTTTTTCATTTAACAGAAATATAGTTTTTTAATAAAACCTTCAATAACGTCCTTCTTTTTCCCAACCATTTGCTTTACAACTTTGAACACTACGCTACTATTGTTCTCTAAATCTAACATCTCACCAAAAAACTTCTGCTTATCTGATGGAACTTCGTATAAAACTTGTTTTTGTCTTATGCTTGCGCCTAATTAAGCAATACAAGACTTGTCTTCTTTAACAATTTTTACCCAAATCTGCATTCCCCCGTCATAATTATTTGTGTTTCTGACACTTTGTTCTTCTATATACTTTATCATATACCTCTAGAAAGTGTATCTTTTTTCATATTCTTTCCTAATTCCTTTCTGACCTGATTTCTGTTCTTGCTTAAATATTAAAATGGTTACTTTATTCAAAATGGTTACATAACTTATATTCATGCTATTTCTAGATTCTACACTTACAGTAATAAATTTTTTTTATTAGAATTTTGTGTTACAAATTTTTTTCATCAATTTTGTGTTACAAATATCTAATATTAAATAGCTTAAATAATTATCCTTTGATATATAAACTTCACCTTGTATTACTTTTATGTTAACTGTCAATTTTTTAAAAAACAATTTTTTACAAAGTTTTCTGATTAGAACGTAGTTGACTTGTGTTATAATACTGCCTAATTCATAAGTTATTTTTCGTTGTAACTCAGATCTTTTTTTGTAAGTCATGTATTACAGAGTACCAATCGTATAGCATCTGAAAATTCTCACACCAAAAAATCTTTATAATTATGTACTACCACAAAATTAGGGGTGGAAGTTAAGGTTAGTTTTAGTCTAACTAAAAATACTAATTTTTACTAACTTTTACAAACTAAATTTTTAGTCTCACTAAAATTAGTCAACTAACTTTTTAGCCAACTAAAATTACCCGAATAATCTTTTAGTTAACTAAAATTACCTGACTAACTTTTTAGTTAACTAAAATTACCCAACTAACTTTTTAGTTAACTAAAATTAGTTGACCAACTTTTTAGTCTAACTCAAATTAGCCGACTAACTTTTTAGTTAACTCAAATTAGACGACTAAATATTCAGTGTAACTAAATTTAGTCGACTAAAGCTAGATTTAGTGCTTGAAAAAAAATAATAATCTTTTGCATAAAAATTTTACACGCAAGGAAGCTTTTTTTAGGTGATAGATATTATTATATCGTAATTAAACACTTTACTAATTGTGAATCTTAGAGCCCCGTTGAACTAACTGTTATTCAAAAAAAAATGTTTTATGTAAAATTTAATTATTTTAATTTTTCCCATCCTATAGGTAGCGTGCAATAATAATCGCACATCAAAAATACTTTCCCTTGCCAAGGCCGTACCGACGGGGGTGAGGGCACCTTCCCAGGTTTACGAAATTCTGTCTGTTTTGTCGGTAATTTGGAAAATTTGAGACTCAATCGGTAAAAACTGAAATTTGGCTTTTAAATAAAAAAAAAGCCTTACTTTGGTGAGATTTTTATGGTAAAAAATCTTTTTTCTTTTTTACCCCCTCCCCCTACATTTTCATTGTTCAGTACAGCCCTGTCCCCTGTCATATTATAGGAATGGATTCAATCTCTAATTTTCACAACAAATCTATGACTCCCCCTCCCCACTCTTTCAAATATCAACCTCTCCTAACAATTGATGACCACCCCAAACACAAAAACACAAAAAAAAAAAAGCAAAAAAAAAAAACAACAGAAAACAAAATATAGTAGATTGAAAAATACAGTAAAAAAAAAATTAGAAACAATGCAGTGAAACATTTGGCATTCTAGTTCTTCCAAATACAGAAGATATAAAAATATTGTGTTCACTTAAAAATTATAAATGGGCATTAAATTCCCTCCCTTTATTAATCCTCCCCAAACCTATTGTAATGTTAACATAACCTCCTTAATCCTCCTGTTTATCCCATTAATCCTCCTGTTTTTACCACATTAAAGAGGGGTTTTATACCAGAGGTTTCCATCTCCTAGATAAGTTGCCTTCACCACAATTAAAGAGCCTTGCTAACCCCAAAAAATTTTTAGAAAATAAAAGATTGTTCAAACTCTTATTTCTTAATAAAATAAAAAAATGAAATATTTTAATAAACATTTCTTTATTATTATTTTGTTATTATATATTAACACATATATTTTAAATTAAAGTTTTTTAATGTTTTTAAAAATTTTTTAAAATTTAAAATTTTTAAGTTATATAATAAAAATATTTAACAAAATTAGTACAACTATTTAAGACACTTTGCAATGTTTCCACTTTAACGAAGTATTTTTTTAATAAGCTGTTGTAATTTTTTTAATTTTTTTTTATTTACATTATGCAATATTTTCTTAGAAAATGTCAGACATTTTATTACATTGATGTTTACAATAATTATCTGAATTAACTTAATTACTTTTTTATTATTAAATAATTTTTTCCTTTACTTATTTATTTTAATAATTTTCTAAAATATCCCTTGCATTAGTTATGAAAAACTCTCATCTGATTAAATAAGATATTATTTATATTAGGAGTTTTGATATTATAAGGCTAACAAAAATTATAAGACTCCTAAACTCAACCCCTTTCTTAGAAACATAAGAAAAAAGAACATAAAAATAACATTTTTATAAATTTGATAATATTTAAAAACCTTAAAAATTTTTTTTTTTAATCATAAAATGTTTCTTTAATAAGCCTGTAATGAAATATAATATGTAATACAAGTATGAACCTATATACTAGATAATGCTGTATACCTGCAACATATTTAGACTCAAGACATATTTAAACATTTGAAACACCTTTGACATATATTGTTATATGTCATAGATATTTTAGTGTGCGTATATAAAAGTCTTTTGGGACGTCAGGAAATATATTTCTTTTCATTTCTTGAATAGCAATTCAAATTAGATCAATATTTGCTTTTGGATTTATCACATTTACTGATTGAGACTGATTGATTGAGACTGGAGTGTGTGGATAAGTTACTATTATTTATTGGGTAGATTGGCATAGTTGAGTTAGAGCTAGTGAAACTTGTGAACATATAAAACAGAAGTGTGAACAACTGTCAACAGATTGATCAAACTTTGGTATGTTATTTTACCGTTTGTAAATAAATTAGCTAGGAACATTTAGAACAACTTGTAACAAAGTTTTGCTAATCATAAGCAATCCTTTGAAAATAAAAAAAGTATTCAAAAGACACCATGCTGTCAAAATACATATGGGAATTAAAAGATAAAAATATTGATGATTTTTAAATGAATTGGTCCATTCTTAAAACAGCACCTGCATATAACAATATTTCTAAAAAAATGCTATGTACAACAAGAAAAAATTGAAATATAATTACACATTCAAACCAAGAATGTTTATTAAACAAAAAATCGGAATTAATTTCTAAATGCAGGCACAAAAATTAGTTCCTCCTAAAAAACTATAAAAATAAGTGAGGTAAAATAAAAACTACATTGAATTTTAAAAAATATAAAAAAACAAAAGTAATCAAAAAAAAAATTAAAGAATTGATTTTATAAGTGTCAGCATATTCCACAAATGAGTGAAATTTACAGTAGTTAAGACATTTACGACTTCCTAAAAATTAATTTTTGGTTTAAATTGTAGTTTTATTAATTTGATTATTATTAATGAAACACATTGTTAAATTCAAATTTTTTTAAGTGATTTTCTACTAATTTATTATTGCGCTGTTTTTTTAAGAACATTGAGCACACATTTTGTAGAATACATCTTAAAATTGTTTATATATATTGTTATATATATGTTATATAAAATTGTTTATATATATTGTTATATATATGTTATATGAAATTGTTTATATATATTGTTATATATATGTTATATAAAATTGTTTATATATATTGTCATATATATGTTATATAAAATAATATATATATATATATATATATATATATATATATATATATATATATATATATACGTGTGTACATATACATATATATATATATATATATATATATATATATATATATATATATATATATATATATATATATATATATATATATATATATATATATATATATATATATATATATATATATATATATATATATATATATATATATATATATATATATATATATATATATATATATATATATATATATATATATATATATATATATATATATATATATATATATATATATATATATATATAGTATAACCTTGAGTTTTTTCAAAGATTTTTAACATCAAACATTTTAATACTTATTTAAAAAAAAATTAAAATAAACAAACTTCGATTTAAAAACAAATTATAAAAAATTTACTTCTGTTTTTAAGGACTTTTCTTCAGATGAAATAAAAATCTCCCACCACATATTGGTGAAATTGTGTAAATGAGATAGATCTTTTGAAACAACAGCTTCTCTAGAAACTTGACTAAAAACATGATCCCATGGTTTACGCGAACCAAGAAAATGAACTATCTTTACATCTTTCCCATACCTAAAGTATTTAGGATGTTTTTAGAAAGCCAAAAAATTAAAAAATTTTTAGTTTAAAAAAAGTAAAAAACAATTATATATTGAGTTTGTTTTATTATGAGTTTATCACCATAAAAAATCTAAAAAAAAAAGCTTATACATATATATGTTTCAATAAAATATAATTATAATATATAAATATAAATTTAAAAAAACTTAAAAACTACATAAATTCCTGATAAAATTAAAGACCATTAGTACTGTTATTCTGCTAAGAAGATGGTGTGTTTAAACACCTTTGGTATCCAGTAACATATCCATCAGTTATAAAAAATTTGCTTAAAAAATATTGTTTTTCACAACAATATTTTCAAGTCTAAAAACATTGTTAAAAGACTTTTTTAAAATAAGAATATTTTATGGAAATTTAATAAAAAAATTTGTCAAAATCAACAGTGTTCAAACATGCAGTTTTTGGTAACAAATTTGTCCCATTTAACCTCATACTTTTTGATTTTTACATAATCTCCTATTTATCAAATAAAACAATATACTTTATTCATGCATTATTCTATACTATATGAATATATTATTCTATAGTATATTTATCATTAAATTATATGAAGAAAAGAACCTCTAAAATTTATTTTGAAACTACCAAAAGTTGGAACTTGTGCAGAATTACTTGAGTACCAAAATTGACCTTGATATGTTACTGGTATCACATGTTGAGCCACAAAACATATTGTATGCTAAGTCAGTGATTGTGATATACACTGACTTAGCAGACAATGTCTCATTGTATGTGTTGCACAATGTCTCATTGTATGTGTTTATTTTTGTGTGTATATATATATATATATATATATATATATATATATATATATATATATATATATATATATATATATATATATATATATATATATATATATATATACATATATATATATATATATACACAAAAATAACATCGATGCTTGCATTTAAAATATCCCCCATAAGTTTTTATGTAAGCAGCACATGATAGACTGCCAACGCAAGTCAGGCTATTTGTCAGTCGATGTAGCAGCACTCCGTTGTAGCAGCAGGCTATAAGATTGTCGATGTAGCAACACTCCGCGCATGTTTAAAAAATATTTTTTAATAAAACAACAACAAAAACACCATTAATTGAAAAAAACTTTCTAGTCATTATTGCGGTTTTATTAAAAAGCAATAATATTTAATGTACTTGCGCATTAATTTAAATGTTTTGAAATTTTGACGACAATAAAATGTAGCTTAATTGTCGAGGCAGCAATATATATATATATATATATATATATATATATATATATATATATATATATATATATATATATATATATATATATATATATATATATATATATATATATATATATATATATATATATATATATATATATATATATATATGTATATATATATATATATATATAGGCTTTGTTTTAAATAAAAAACGACTTAGCTCATTAGCTCATCATGATTTTGACAAAAAATTTAATTTAAAGGTATTAACTTTTTTTAACTACCGCAATAAAATAAATTACTGCAAAACAAGTTTATTTTACTAATTGTTATTTTCCAAATGCACATATTGTGGAATGTCTATTTTGTTTCAATTTTTTTTTTTTGTTTTTACTATTAAATAATTAAGTGTAACATTACATTTTTTTATTTTTATTTAACATAAATTAATTGCTTTTATTTCTCGACATTTGTATAAATGAATTAAAATATCTTCATGTTTTTTTCATTATTTCTTAAAATTGCATTTTTGCAAACATTTTTCACCTTTTTGATATTACGCAATCTGTTGATTATATAAATATAATCAACAGATTGCTGATATAACTATTAAAAAATATTATTTTTCTAAACTTTAATAGTTTTAGAAAAATAATAGTAATATTTAAATATTATAATATTTATAATATTTAAATATTACAATTATATTATAAAGTTTACATATATATTACATAAACTATAATAGTTATTTTTCTCAAAATAAAACTTATAAATATAAATATTATTATAATTATTAATAACTTATAAATATAAATATTATAAACTTATAATTATAATTATATTTATAATTATTGCAATGGAATTCGCTACAGCATCTATATTACTATAATAATAAATGAATTAATATTACTAAATGAAGACATTGCAAGAGTTTATATTGTTTATAAGCAAAAATTCAAGCAAAAAAAAATTAATAGATTTATATCCATAAAAGAAATTTTATTTTTATTTTAATAAAAAAAAACTCTTTCTAACTGTCGTTTGAAGTTTTTAATGTTTTTATTTATTTATTTTTTTTTTAATAAAATCAAAACAAACAAACAAGCACACAAAAAAAAATTAAAATATCAAGTGACGCTAATATAAAATAAAATTTAACCTGAACTATTTTTTAGCTAATAATTTTTTGTTTTGTTTTTTAATTTTTTTTTTTTAATTTGGTAATTATTTTTGTTATTGTTTGTTATGAAAAACTGTCTTAATAAATATTCTTGCTATACCAAGACATAATCATCATTCAAACTTCATAAGTGGTTTTTATAACATTAATTATATCTTTTATCTTACCGCTTAAATGATATCTTTAGACTTGTTTAAATACTATAAAATGATAAAAAAATGGCTCATGTGAAATGGCTTGCCATTAACGTTGAATGGCATAGCGCAAACATAAATGGCACGCCAGTTTACACCTTAAAACAAGGTCTGTATATATATATATATATATATATATATATATATATATATATATATATATATATATATATATATATATATACAGGGCTTGTGATGAATCGAGCGCGATCGCGCTCCACTCGTGAAACGCGCTCGTAAATGGTATTTTGAAACGTTCCAGGCGCGATAAACAACGCTCGTTCAGCTTATAACGAGCATATAAAATAACGCTCGTCCAAGAGTTCGGAGCAAAACAAATAATAACTTTTTTTTTTATTTTCATAAAATATGAAAAAAAGATTTTTTAATAAAGATTTTATATTATCGAAGCACTAATATAATATAAAATAAAAAAAGCACTACGTTGTTCTTTTTTGCACTAACCTAATAAATGAGCAGTTTGAAGTCGTTAATAGGCACTAATTTCATTGATGGAATGTGCATGTAGAAATTCAATGCAAATATAAAAATGCACAAATAAAATAATAAAAAATTAGTAAATCATTATAAGAAAATTGAAACTGCAGAATATTTTTAATCTTGTGAATACATCAAGTAAGATTTATTTGATTTATTGTTTGTAATATTCCATACATCGTTTATAATAAAAATAAATAATGATTCAGTAATTTTTTTAATTAGTATTTGTTTATAGTATAAGTTTTTTATTAACTATTATTTATTTTAACTCAAATTTAAAACGATTCTGTTGTTTAGAATGCCCGCAATCAATGACATTCCAAAAGAAAACAAAGTAATGTTGTCAACATTTATTAAATGGAAAGTTCAAGAGGTAATAGGCTTTAGAACTGAAGTTACCAGATATGAGTGACAAATTAGCTGCATTCAGTTTCGAAAATGTAGAAGAAGAAACACTGTTGACAACAGTTGAGGGGAAAATCTGTTATTTAACCTATAATAAATAGTTTAAAAAAAAAAAGATTTTCAAACTTTCTTGTGTTATTTTTTTAAGATAAAAAAATCGTAATTTAAAAAAGAAATTTTAGAAATAAATTAATTTGAATAAAAAATATCAAGAAATATAAAAACTATTTTTAAATACATATATCAAAACAACAAAACAAAAAAAGGCACTAAATTATAAAAAAGTCACTAAATTATACTTCAATACTAAATCAACAAGAAGTTGCGTTTTTGTTTGATATATTTTCTTTTATAACATAAATATTTAAAAAAAAATCCCGATCTGACAATATACAAGAGTGTTAATTCATGAGTGTGATACTAATTATAACATTTGTCGACGAAAGAATGATGTAACAAATAAAAAAAGATCTTCAGCAATTTTCATGATCGCGCTCGTCGACGTTATCTCAAGCTCACAAAATCACGCTCGATGAAAACATATTTTAATTTTATGAGCGCGATATAACACGCTTGACGATTTTATTCGTCACAAGCCCTGTATATAAATATATATATATATATATATATATTCGCTTTTTTATTGGCGGATGCTGCCGGAGTTCTTTTTTGGAGGCAAAATGTTTTGGAGGCCGACGCCAATAGAGTGGCGGAAGCCAATGGTGGCCGCCTCCAGAAGAAATTTTGGAGGCAAAGCCATTTGGAGGCTGCCTCCAATGGCTTCTGCCTCCTAACTGGCTACGGCCGTCAAATTGGAGGCGGAAATATTTGCCTCCCGCAAAAAATAATTGTTTGTTTGTTTTAAAGCAATTAAATATTAACTAAAAACAAATGTTAAATACTTGACATAAAAGTTTTATTTTATATTATTTATTGGCTATTAAAAAAATTTTTTGAAAAAAAATTATAACTTTGTCAGAGCGGTTATTTATCTACTATTATCGAATAAATTAGTCATTTTTATTTTAAAACAAATATTAAAAATTAAAAATTTTGTTTACATGCCTTAAGCAAAAAAAAAAAAGTTTATGACAAATAATTAAAGTTTTTGATCGTTTGATATTTTGTTGCCCTTACGTCACGCTAAAACTTTAATTTTTTGACCATAACATTAAATTATTAATTCTAGTCATTATATATTGTAAAATTATTTGAAAAACACAACATCTTTTAACATTATTAAAAATTAATAAAGTTAATTTATTTAACATTTATTTATTTATTTATTACAACAAGTATTTAACATTTGTTTCCAGTTAATATTTAATTGCTTTAAAGCAAATGAGCAATTATTTTTCATTACATCCGCCGGCGAGAGGCAAATATTTCCGCCTCCAATTTGACGGCCGCAGCCAGTTAGGAGGCAGAAGCCATTGGAGGCAGCCTCCATATAGCTTTGCCTCCAAAATTTCTTCTGAATGCGGCCACCATTGGCTTCCGCCAATGTGTAGTAAACCATAATGCAAGAAGACGTAAAGAAAAGAACTCAGTGAGAGGGTTGCCACTCATTAATGTCGACAGTATTGTGATAGTTATTTGCAGTAACTAACTGAGTTTTGTTGGAGTGAAAATTCACAAGCCACTGCAGCCCCAATAAGCTACAGAAAATGTCCCCTTAAGTACCTCTTTCATTTTTCATTTGAGCAAAAAAATTATTTCATAGGTTGGAATATGTTTCTCTTAGTCTTTGCCTAAAATAACATACTCTACAGGGCAGCAGGGCATGGGACAGGCAGCATTGGGTTACATATTACCAGTAGCAGGGTGATCATGATGATACTGAATCTGACCTGACCTGGAGTAAGTATATTTATTCTTGATAACAAGAGCTATCTAAACTCCCTAGAAATATTATTTTGAAAAATTAATAACAGAGTTATTAATTTTCAGTTTAGATCTATAAAAGTTTTTTATTTAATTATAAAAAAATCTGATCTTTTTAAGATGCCACCCAAAGTCTGCAATAATCAATGTTTTTTCATTCCTTTGACAACATCAACAATTATAAAAAAACAAAATTGAAAAAAAAATGGCTCGGTTTTGCATAAATTAAAATTTTGAAGACCAGATATTTTTCCAGATTTTGCATTTCGCTTAATAAATAATCAAGGAATTAAATTTTATAATTTTTTTTTTTTATAAAAACCACAAATTTTTTTTTTTTAACATCTTCGCTTCCAACAAGGCTGCAAGCAACCACTAATTAGTGTTGGAAGTTACTGGAAGAGAAAAATTTTGTTTTTATTATTTAATTGTTTTTTCATTTTTGTTTTATCTACTGATTTATTTAAGCACTACTCCTGCAGAGTGTACATACGATAACTTATATTGCTTTTTTAGACAAGCAGTGTGGTGTAAAACTGAAATAGCCATCTGCTGGGGGCTTAGGCACATACATCAACTGACTAAATAGGTAAAACATGCAAGGAGTGCCACTACATCGACTAAAGGTTTGGTCTGGGGCAGAAATCTTTTTTTCCACTCTTCTTTTTTTGAAAAAGCTGCATGCAAGAGAGCAGGTTTAAATATATAAATACATATGAGGGCTATTCTAGACCATTTTCAATAGCCTCTACCGTATTTGGGCACTGCCCAAATTAAAAATTAAAGACTTTTTTTTTAAAATATGTTTTTACGGCAAAATGTGTTTTTTCGCAAAAAAACACTGATTTTCCACTAAAGTTTACCAGAAAAAGGGGGTACTACCGCCAAAACTTTTTCCTAGAATAGACCCTGATATATATATATATATATATATATATATATATATATATATATATATATATATATATATATACATATATATATATATATATATATATACATATATATATATATATGCAAGCAAATATTTTCTGCTGTAATAAAACTTCTCCTTTAACATGTGCAGATAGTGTTTGATCAGACCCTCATTTGTTTTATGAATTATAGCCCCAGTAGATGGTTCATTATTTCAATTTAACATCATCATATACACAAATAAATAAATATATATATATATATATAAATATATATATACTAGCTGAGATCGGACAGGTAACAACAAAAAGGTTAAACGTACGCTTTATAAACATTTTTTGATGCAGTGTTATAACATATTTACAAGGAATTTAAATAACTATTTAAGCAAAAATTTTTCTAAATTATAAGAAAGTTTCTGTTTTCACACTTTTGATATTGCACAATCTGTTAATTTTATAAGGCTGATGTAACTATTATAAAACATCATTATAAAATTGTTAAGGGTCTTTGTAAATCTATTCCTAAACCTTATCTATACTTTTTCCCTATACATCCTAGCTTTCCGAATCGGTAAAATACGAGTCTTAACCAAGCCTACCATTTCTATCCATATCTATTCCTTATTTAACTCAATATTTTTTAGTAAAACAATTTATTCTGAAAAAAACATTCACAAGTAAAAAACATATTATTAAATATTATTAAAGGTGTATTATTACTTATGCACCTTTTCCGCATATGTAGAGTTTATAAGAGACTTATAATTAGGTTTATTTGTCTATTAAATTGCATTACAGTTGATAGCTCAGTAGTTAAGTACGCTGTCATCAGTTTTGTTTTGGGGGGTTCAAGACTTCCCTTCAGCGTAATAAACTTTAAAATTTTTTTAATCATGCTTATATATTTATAATAAAAAAATAATAACATAGCAAAAAAGATTTCTAAAATTTAAAATAAAATTTTAAAGTTTTCTCATTTTATAGATATATTATACGCTATTATCTCTATATAATTCAAACTCAACATATGCTAAAGACGTTTTCACTTACAAACATTTGTACATAACCTTATACAAATAGGACTAAGAAGATCTTAGACCACTAAAATATAGTCATAAAAAAAAAGCATTCTAATGGTTATTATTAAAAACTAAAGAATAATATAGCCTTAGCTATTAAACATTAATCTAAAAGTAAAGTCAAAAATATTTTGTGTATTAACGTCAGTTTGTGGCAAAATAAACCTTTATGTGTCTTATTATCCTTTATATTTCTTTTTTCCATCTTACATTTTTTGATTAATTTTAATTGCTGCATACAACTACATAAAAATATATATAACCGGTACAAATATATAATTTCACAAATAAAATATTGTATTTATTACAATAGTAATAAATAGTTTTTGTCTTATTAGAATATACCCCATAAAAATATACTCCATATATCTTTAATTGAAGGAGTTTTTTAAAAAATTTAAATCAAATTATTTCTTTTTTTTTTTTTTCTAGTTTTTTGCTACAAAGTGATGTCACATACCGAAATATATTGTGGTTACTACGATTTACGAAAAAGACTTGTCTATCATTTTTAACAGTCTAAGAAGCAGAAAACAAAATTTTAGCAATCAGAAATTATCAAGAGAGGGACAAATCTAAAATTGAAGTTTTGAATTTTCCACTTGGATGAGACAATACTTTTCATGTTTTTTCAATCTTGTCAATTTTTTTAAATATAATAACATACATACAAAAAATCAAAACAAAACAGGTTTACCAAAAAAGACTTGTAACTTATATTACATACAATCCTGAATAAAACTTTATAAGTGGTTTTTTTACATTTTATAAACAATATATATAAACAAATAACATATTTGTTTATATATATCGTTTATATAGGGATGGTTAAGCGCCAAACCTACCTATACAATTTATAAAAAAATAAGTTTTATATTAAAAAATGGTTTATAAAATGTTTCTTTGCAAACACCGATATAGTATACTTAAAATTATTAAATGTACTAAACTGCAATTACTTTTAATTTTTTTGGTTTAGTGGCATTTGTTAAGCGCTTCTTGCATCAAATTATCTTATTTCAACATATTGGTTGTATCATCCATTCTGCAGCCGATTTTTCTTTATTAGGTTCCAGACAACTTTTTTTCAGACCATTTGCAGCTTATTAGGACTAATTACCTGAAAACATTAATAACATAAGTGTCTCAATCATCATACATACGCAACAAATTTTTTCTCCCTGTGATGTTTTTTTGTTTGATGTTTTATGAAATTTTAGCTTTCCTAAAATCTTTTCCTTTGTGAAAGTGTATAATATCGTTACGTTACATATGTTTGTATATAATCTTTATAAAACTTTAAAAGTATTTTGTATTTTAAAATAATCGAAAAAAAAAAAAAAAAAAAAAAAAACGTCATTGGTAGGAATCGAACATCGGCTTATTTGTTGAGAAGCTTGGTACCTTATCCACTCGGCCACACTGGCACATACTCAATCAAATATTTTAAAATAATGTAATGATTTTTTTGAGGGAAAAAATGTTATAGATCAAAATTAAGTAGAGCTTGACGCAATGCAATTTGAAAATTTCAAGTGAAACTCAAACTGTAAAACTTGATAAATGTTTCAGTATGTTTTAACATTACTTAATTTAAAGTTTACATACGTTAGATATTTGGATACGCGTTCGTTCACATTTTCTTATAAAACAAAGTGCTGGGACTCTTTCTCTCCACTACCTTGCTCGCAATGGCTGCCAAGGGTACCGTGTCAAATAGGCTCGAAAGTGCAATACTACTACTACTAACACTACTTTTAAGTTCAGCAATAATATATAATATATATATATATATATATATATATATATATATATATATATATATATATATATATTACCACAACTACCTTAAATATGCTGGTGAATAGCTGTAACAAATATTTGCAACCATGTTATAAGTAAACGGAAGGTGAAACTTGATATCTTTTCGAGGCCAATCAGAAAAATATTCATTTAATAAACCTTGATCTCCACCTGAAAACATAAATATGTGAAATAAAAATAATAAAGTGAATAAAAACTTACAGTAAAACAATTTTGTGAAAACATAAAACATAACAATTATCAAAATTTCAAAATATATTTAGACAGAACAGTTCTCTTCAATACTTTGTGCAATAAAGTACATTTAATCATTTAACAATAATTAATTCACACAATTTTTTTTTTTGTTTTATTTTATCATTTTAAAAAGTAGGGTATATTGGGCAGTCCTCGGAATTAGGGTCGACATTTGGCAAAAAAATACCTATCTTGTTTTTATGGTTATGGTAAAACCTTTGTATCATATTTTTTTTTGCCAACCTGATGCCAACCTCTATAAGATTAATTTTCCTAATTCCTAGGGCTGATTGCGTAAAGATATTTAACAATTTTTACTAGTTAAATGATACAATTTTTTTTTAATTCCTAACTTAAACCTACCATCAAAACTGCCTTTATTCGCTGCAAGTTCTACTAGATTTTGGAATGTCTCTTTTGAAGGCTTGAATACAAACACTCCAGAGTTGAAACAATCTGGCCAACCAACATCAGGAGCGGCAGAAAGTTCATCATATTCAAACAAATCATCAACATTACGAAGTACCATTACATCAGCATCAAGAAAGACACATTTAGTAAACTGTGTTAGATTCCAAGCATGTAGTTTTGAAAGTGTGCATTTTAACTCGGGTCGATTAAGTAATAAAAGATTTTTTGTATCTTTACTCTCCATGATCTGAATATCAATAATATTATCCCAATATTCTGAAAGTTCTTGCCTAAAAAAAAGAAGAGATATTGCTTTATATTTCAATCGTTTTAAATGTCAGACAAACTTTATAATGAATGCTAGATACAGGATAAAAATCGATAGGCCTTGGTCATGACATTAAACAGACTCTTAGTGATGGTGAAAGCAACATACCTAGGAAAATAAAAACTCTGATATAAAATTTCAAAATTAAATGTGGATATGGGTATGGGTAGCTTATAAATTTTAAATGGTAATCCTCCTAGTGGTAGTAGACAAACTTACTAAATGAAAGAACAAGTCCTCCTTGTCTTGATATTATAAGAAAAATACTTAGTCCTAATTTGGAAAATATGTTAATACCAAGAAGGGCCCCTGGATGTGAAAAATTGCTTTAACTTTTTTACAATTGTGGCCAAAAATTTGGAATTATCTAGTGTTTTAATAAAAAAAAATTTTAGCATTATTTTTTATTGCATGAAGATAAAATAAGTATAGCGCCATGGTTTTGAATTGCTCATCTGACAAAAAAAAAAAGTAGTAGAACACAGTTATTGAGTAAATTACCCAAAAAACATGGCAATTATGTCAACACTTCATATCATAACCACAATTTTTCAAAATAGAGGCTGTTCAATGAGACACAGTATGGACTGGTTTAACAAGTCTGGTAATATCTCTTTTAACCAAACTACAAATATTTTTTTTAGATATTCTATATTTTGAGGTTCTTTTTTTCTGACTTTGCATTTAAGAATTTTCCATAGGTTTTCAGATTGAGATTAAGGCTATTCCCTGGTCAGTCAAGTACGCGAATCTTGATTTTTTGGAAAAGAACAAGATTCCTTTACTTTGAAGTGTAGCAATGTGCATTGTACTGTTAAAAGATTGTTATTTTGTGAAATGTCATGCTAAGACATTTCATATATATGCTTAAAACTAAAGGTATTGCTTTTTGGCATAAAATGTAGCCAACCATGAAATCATGCAGAGAAGCAAACCCATACCATCGTAAAAGGTAGATGTTTTAAATTAGGAACAGTGTATTTTGGGACATACCTTTGCTTTTCTTGACTTCTTAATTAGTTGCATGGTGTGCTTAACTGCTGGAGTATTATTAGATTAACAAGATAAATCATGTAGAGAAATTTCAGAGTTTCCTAAAAAAAAACTAAAAACTGTTTTTTTTTAGTTTTTTTTTAGGAAACTCTGAAATTTCTCTACATGATTTATCTTGTTAATCTAATAACACTGCCCACCAATTTACCACTAAATTGTAATACTGCCCACCTATCTAAATAAAAGATAATCATCTAATTAAAAGGGAAAAAATAAACAAAAAATATTTTCTTAAAAGTATTTTACTTAATTAAACATACATAACTGAATGAGAAAAATATGCTATTAGTGTTTCATTTTCAAAGTGTTTTTTTAATGAGAATCTTGTGGCTGGTTGTTCTTAGCTAGTTTCATAAGATTTGGTTCAAAATCAGATAGATTGTAGCTTTAGGTCTCCTTTTCGTACAATATTAAGTTTGTTTCTTTGTTTTTGTATAAATATTACTCACTGCAATAAATTTGTACAAATAAGACTCACTGTATTAAATCCAATTTTGACAAGGTAAGATGATGGAAAGGCTAAAATTAATAACTTTAATTTTGTATAAACCTGTGGGTATTTTTTAGCAACTTGAATTCAAAAACCATTCAATCCCATCTTCTGGAAAATTATTTTAAACTTTTTATTATTCTGTATTTTAATCAAATTTTCATGCAAAGAACAGGAGAAACCATTCTGGAATTAGCAATTCCACCAAATCTTTAAATCTACATTCAAATTCTTTTTAGAGTGTGTATAAATGTGTGCAACAAATTTGTAATTCACTGTCACTAAAGTGTTGTCCATTGCTCTGGACTGCATATTTGGAAATTGATTGTACTCACTTTGCCCTATATTTTGTTTTAATACTTCTAACTTTTTCATAAATTTTAACTGTTAACTTTAATCAAGTTGAAATTTGGTTCTGGTAGTTTCAATCAAGCTTCAATCAAGTTGAAATTTGGTTCTGGTAGTTTCAGATTTAATTAGTTCATTTTCCCAAATATATCTGACAAATATGAAAAATCACATCTATTAGAATCAATATCTTTTGCCAAATCATGTTCACCAACAGAAAGCAAAAACTGAACAATTATGCCATCGAACCTCAGTATGCAAAAGCAGTCTTTCAAATTGTTCATTGTTTTCATTACATAACTGTCTGAACAGCCTTGTATTCAGTGCATGAGCTTTTATTTTGTTGATTACACATATAACCAAACTAAAACTGTTTAAAAATCTCACACTGAGGTTTTTGGCACAAAGATGCTGCCTATGAATAACACAATGTATTGCAAATAGGTTTTTTATTTCTTGTTTAATATGACTCCTTTGTGACAACCTATCATACTTCAAGCTCTATCTGTGGCACAGGAAATTATTTGCAATATAATTTGCATATTTGCAATCAGTGTAATTCAAATAACCTTTGAGATTTAAAAAGATATTTTCTCCTTTTCTAGTCAATGACAAAGAACATTTCTTCCCAGATCCTTTACAAACTGAACATAAGCTAGCAATAGTGCCTGATTATCACAGATAGTGGATTTATCAAGCTAAATAAAATTCCATTCTTAAAGAATTAGGCATACTTAAGATTCATCACTCATTTTATTAATGCGGCAAGAAACAGTGTTGCTAAGAGGAATTGATTTTGATTATATGTAAAATAGTATTTCCATACTATTTTAAATACAGTTCAAATCATTTCAGACGCTGCAGGTATAATCAACTGTTCACCAATTGTATGTGCCTTACTATATTTTGCTATTAACTTAAAAACTTTGTAGGAAGCAATGAGACTGTTTTCAATATCATTCTTTGCTTTTTGAGCAAACATTGGCAAGGTCATCACAAATCTGTTATTCATTTTCTGGAATGCAACAACTATCCAGTTGACTCTATCTGGGTGTTTTTTTTAGCAAGTATTCTTTCAATTATGTTATATTTAACCCAATAACCAAATATTTTTTGTATTCTGCAATATACATTTACTATCATGTGTTTTGTTTACAACGGAATTCTCAAAAAACGATGAATTGACAACCATTATTTCCCAAATAGGACACTTGTTAATTTATTATCACTCATTTTAAACTTAGACAATGATCAATTAAAATAAAATAGTGTGACCATGATTTTTTTCTTGTTAATAAAGCCCAGAAATGATGCAGCGCCCATCTATTTTTAAAATATTTCTGTCACCCACTAAATCAACCCCAACGCCCACCTAGTGGATCCTGTGGACCAGGTTGGGAATTCTTTAGATTTTTTCATAAATATAAAAATATAAATAAACAAGCAATATTGTGTTGTTAAGCAACAAGACTATTATAACTAAAGACCAGAAGAAACTAAAGCTACTTATATTTTAATTATTTACCTAAGCTTTAGTGTAAATATTGATAAACTTTAAAGGTGATTCCAAACTTTTAGCCACAACTGTATAATGTCAAACTTAAATAAGAAAGTGGCATTATGAAAACCCATACAAACACATGGACATATGCACAAAAAATGCTAGTTACAGATTTAAAGTTAACTTTATTTTGGCCTGACATGCAAATAAACTAAATTAATTTTTCAAATTTAATTTTGTAAATGAGTGATTAGATCTAAACAAATGATTTTCATCAAATTATTAGTTACATCACAGATTTAGAGGAAGTTAATATATTTCTAATAGGTTAATTTTCCTTTAACTGTTAATTTATTGATTTTTTTTACCATTAAGTAAAATTTATTGTCTCTTAGCTAGTTTAGAGTTTGAAAGAAATGTTTTATATTTTACGTAGTAATATCAATGAAATACAAATAACTTGGTATAACCTTTTTCACATTAAGTTCCAATCATTACTTCACTTGGCTAGCAAATAAAATAAAAAAATAAATAAAACAATGCCTAATTGCTTTTAAGAACTTTACCCTTAAAAAAAGGTCAAATCCATTTGACTCTTTTAATAAACTAGTTGTTTACAATTTTAAAAAAGAGATAAGATACAATTTTATTTGATAAGTTCAAAATTAAAATAGGAATACTATTTAGGCTAGTAAATAGTATTCCTATTTTGGCTTGGGTTGAAATTTGATGTTATTTGCAATCTGGGTTATTTGCAAAGAACTTTTCTTCTAACTTGACTACTGAACCTAATGGCCATATTTTTTTTGTCGCTCAAATTAAACCATTGTTAAACATCCAAAAAATCAACTTTCAATTAAACTTTTCTACAGCTTATGTTTCAAACAATATTTCTTACAAAAGTGCTCTTCAGAATTCTCTTTGATTCTCACTGAACTATTAACTATTATAAGTGCTAAACAAGTGGTTACAATTTTTTAAAACTCTAGAAAGCACTCTGACCTCTCCAACAACCCTACAATTAGACTTTTCTCTATTATTTGTTTCTTTATATAAAGGTAAGAAATGATTTAATAATCTCAAAACCATTAAATAAAGGTTTTGAGATTATCATTTCTTTTTAACTCCATTATTAATATTAAAATCATTCTTGAAGGCCTACACTCTTCTTCATTTCTAGTAACTTTAGGGGTACCACAATATTTTAATTTTGCACCTGCTTTGTTTCTATCTACAATAACAATTTTCCTTACTCTAGCAAGCCTAAAATAGGAAGGGCAGAGGGAATAAAAAGAGGTTGGGAAATTTAGCCCAAGTCTAATAAACCTTCAAATGTGCATTTTTTAACAGCAGTTTTATCATATTTTAAATTGTATAAACTATGGTGAAAAAAAAAAGGTCAACAATTTTTAAAGCCTAATTACACTGAAAGTTTTTATTCTTATCAGTGACTGATATATATATATATATATATATATATATATATATATATATATATATATATATATATATATATATATATATATATGTATATATGTATATATATATACTTTAAACATCTTCGCTTCCAACAAGGTTGCAAATAACCACTAACTAGTGTTGGAAGTTACTGGAAGAGAAAAGATGAAGATTGACAGACGACTTATAAGATTGCAAATTATATGAATCAGGAAAGCAAGATGAACGAAGCGAATTCCAAAGAACTGATGTTCGAGGAAGAAAACTAGACAAATAAGAGTTTTTGGAGCACTTAGGAACAGTAACAGAAAAAGGATGAGACTTAATTGAATGACTAGTAACACGAGAATGAATTTTAGTAGATGCCACAAGAGACGCTAGCTCTTTAGAGTAGTGCTAATTATAGTATTTGTAGAAAAGAGAAAGAAAAGCAACATTACGACGATGTGACAAAGGTTGAAGGTTGGCTGCAAGAGCAGGTCCAATTATGTTTACAATGCATTTTTTGCACCTTGTCTAAAAGAGAAAGAGCATCATTAGAATATCCTCCCCAGATATGGTAACAGTATTCCATACAAAGCCAGATTCAAGATATATAGAGATTGAGAATAGAATCCAGAGTGAGAAAGTGTCGAGCTCGATAAAGAGATGCAACTTTAGCAGATGCTAATTTTGCAACAGATTTGATATAAGGTTTCCAAGAAAGATCAGAAGTAAGAGTTAATCCTAGAAGATGAAGGGAAGATGAATCATCGAGTACATTACCGTTCATAAATATAGGATGGTCTAAATTATTGAGATGATTGGCTGAAAAAAATCGAGTTTTATCTGAATTATAGTTCACCAGCCGCTGTGAGCCTCATGCTGTAGCAGAAGCGAGATCCTTTTCAAGCTCAAATGCTCCCTGCAAGCAATAAGAGGGAGTTGGCTTCTTATCGAAGACAAGAATAAATGGTAGTATCATCAGTGAACAATGCCACCTTAGATGTGAGAAGATCATTAATGTATATTAAAAAGAGTATAGGGCCAAGGAGTGAACCTTGAGGAACACCTGAGGTTACAGAAAAAGAAGAAGAGTGCTGTCCATCAAAAACAACTTTTATACTACGATTGGAAAGGAAGGATTCAATAATCTTAAAGATGTTTCCAGATACACCGTAAGAAGAAAGCTTATGGAGAAGACCAGCATGTCAAACTTTATCAAACGCTTTAGAAATGTCAAGAGCGATGGCTTTAACCTCTCCACCTTTATCTAATGCGCGATAAAAACTATCCGTTATTACTGTTAGCAAATCAGCCGTAGAATGAGAAGATTGAAATCCATATTGATGATCAGAAAGTAAGTTGTTAGATTCAAGATGAGAGATTAAGTGTTTGTTAATTAAAGATTCAAAAACCTTGCTCATGATAGGAAGAAGACTAATGGGACAGTAGTTAGACGAATCAGATTGCTCTCCAGAATTTTTTAAAATAGGGATAACAGATGCTGCTTTCCAGCAGGCTGGAAAACAAGACTCTGATAAGCACTTGTTGAATAGTTTTGAAAAGATAGACGACAGCTCCGGAGAACACTTTTGCAAGACTATAACAGGTATGTTGTCGAGGCTACAAGCTGTAGAAGAGTCTAAGCAGGAAATCACTTTAGATACAAAAGCTGGAGTAATACGGATGTTGAGCAATGGATCAACCTGTTTGACGGCTATATCCGGTAGTACGCAACTAGTGGAATCAAGAGATGATTATGGATGAAAAGTTCTTAGCAAATAATTCTGCTTTGTCTTTAGGTAAGGTGACAAAGTCTGAACCATACAAAAGAAGTGAAATTGCAGACTTGCCCTTTTTTTTTAATAGAAGTTAAAACTTGGAGCTTAAAAAAAAAGGTTTGATAGGAAAAATAATCAAAGTTATTTTCAGATGATTTTAAATTTTTATGGCAATGTTTAAGAATTAGTTATTAAAAAGCAATAAGTTTATAATCATTAATAAAATCATTAGCAAAATTAAATTTTATTGATTTTTATGCGAATTGAGTTGTTTTATATAAACTCGTTGATATAATCTATTTCTTTAAAATATTTCTACATATTTTTTAAATTGTTAGATCTTTTTATGATTATCTATGAATTTTTTGCTTTAGTTAAAACTTTTGAAGCATCTCATGATCCCTAGATATTTTATGTTATATTTTGTAAGCTTAAGTTAAGGATCTTAATGAATTGAGCCAAATGGTCTGGAAAAAAATAGGCGAGTTACCTGATGTAATGTTGCTAGATTGAAAGTTAATTAAGTGTTATCAATAAGAATTTTTAAATCTGAATTTACTCTAAATAGCAAAACGATAAATTAAAATAAAGAATTTAAAAAAATATTTTTGAGAAAAAGTGATACAGCAAATTATTTGTAAATTAATCAAACTTTCATTTACTTAGATAAAGAGAAATTTAAAACAGAAATACACAATTTATATACACAGAAGTTATACCGTTTTGCAGTTGAAACATCATTTGTAACCATTAAAACAAGCTTTCGTGTTGTTTGGGTTAATTTTAATGATTTTCCGAGAACAATCGCTCCATCGCCATATTTATCATTTGTTATTAAACTTACATATGCTTCAGCCATCTTTATTTATTCAGTATGTAGCTTAAAAATTCAAGGTTAATTTATTAATAATAAGTTAGATGGGTCACAAGCTTGAAAATTGACGCTGTTTTTACAGTACACAACTTTTAAGTGGTATTGCCAATATTAGAAATTATAATATTGTTTTTATGTTGAGTTGAAAGTAAGTTAAACTAAAAAAGAAACAAAAGAGGTCGTTGAGGTGATGCCGTTATTAACGCTATAACGCGATATAATATATTATAGGTCGTTATACATTATGCGTCGTTATAGCAAAATACATTAGGGATCGTCCATAAAGTACGTACGGTCAAAGAGGAAGAGCAAATGGCGTACTCGAGATTAAGGGGTGGGGAGGGCGTTGTGTCAATTATAAAAGTATGGAGACACTAAATCAAAAAAAAATATCATAAAATGTTGGGTTCGTAGGAAAAAGCGTATGTACTTATAGGGAGGTAAAGGTTACTCAAAAAAGCGTATGGCAAAATGTGGGGTAGGGGGGTAGGCGGAAAAAAGCATAAGTACTTTATGAACGACCCTTGCGTCGTTATAGCGTTCTAATATTACTTTTTACAATGAACTTAAGTCATCGTAAAGTAACATAAAGCATACTTCTATGTAAGTACAAAGTTCATATATACTTTCTGCTAACAATTTAAGTAGCAGAATAAGATTACTTTCATCTTCATATTTTTTAAGAGTTATTTCCTCTATATAGTTGTAGTTCAACTGTTAATGTAAAATATAAGTGTTTAAACTGTATAACTATATAGTTAGAATGCTCTGTCTACTCTGAGTCTTTAATTGAAAATGAAAAAATTGAAAATTAATAAAAAGATATTAAAAATTAAAAAAAAAAATAAATAATAAGAGTAATTTAATAAAAGTAAATTAATATCCTTAATATATTATAATTTATAATATATAATAATATAACATTATAATATATAATTAATAAAGTAAATCCTCAGCGATTTAGATTTATTAAAATACGGACTTTAATTGTTTTAAACAATTTTGTTAATTTTATTTTAATTTGTATGCAACATTTTTTAGGTCATTAATTAAAGTTTTTAAATGTACATTTACGTTACATAGTGTAATTGTATGTATAAATAATAGCGTAATGCCATAATAAATAGCGTAATAAAATAGTAATAAATAGCGTCAACAGATAAAAGAGATAAAGACCTAACTTTTTTTTTTTTTTTTGAAGGTATTTCCAAAAATAAAAATTCGTATAACTTATATCGTTGATAAAATTGCAAAATTGTGTAAGTGAACTTATTTAAAAAACGTAATACAAGTTCTATAATATAAAATTTTTAAATAATGCTATTGGTCAAATTTCAAAGTATTTATTAAAATGTGTAAATTAATGTCAAAACATAACAAAAGGGCAATTTTCTTTGGCAGACAAAACTTTTTTTTGTATAACGAAAATACCTCGTGCCAAAGGTCTATTTATTTATTTATACAAAATGTCTACCGCAGTTAAAAATATTCTTTCCACATTTCTTGATATAATACCAATAAAAAACACCGAAACTGTTTTAAAAATTTTTTAAATTAGAATTATCAAAAAACACTTACTATAGGCTGGTCAGGGCCGTCCCGAAGAGACGGCCTGAGGCTGGTAATATTTATAAGTGATAAAGTCAAAGCACAAAGTTTAACACCAAGACAAGACAACATGTTTTAACGTTCAAGTCAAGTTAAATTGAAGACAAAGACGAAATAAAAATTCCTAGACTAAAAATGAGATCACAAGACTAAAAATAACATGTCCAAATTTTTCTAAGGTACACAAAAACAAAGAATCTTTTAAAAATAGTGTGCTTGAACATTTTTTATAAAAACCTGAAGTTTAAACTGAAAATCTCTGAAAAAGATAAGTGCTCACAACATAAATTGTCAAAAACATGAAACAAAAGAGTAGTGAGGCCTTTTAACATTTAATTAAAAAAGTTAATTAAATTTTTCTGTTTTTATACATTTACAATATATAATAGTATTATATTTCTAAATAAACTATAAAATATTTAAAAAAATAATTTCTAATTTGTAAATTTTACACACAATCACACACACACACACACACACACACACACACACACACACACACACACACACACACACACACACACACACACACACAAAGTAACAAACAAGAAACTCATAGTCTAAGGATTAATGAACTTTGCTATTCTCCTATATATATATATATATATATATATATATATATATATATATATATATATATATATATATATATATATATATATATATATATATATATATATATATATATATGCTATACGTCTCTATATATGCTATACGTATATATATATCTATTATGCTATACGTATATGTATATTCTATATCGTATATATACGTCTCTGTATATGCTATACGTATATATATCTATATATGCTATACGTTTCTATATATGCTATATGTCTATTATAGGATTGCTATAATGTAGCGTTTAGATTTTGTTTAAATTTAGTCTAATTAACGTATAGCATAAGTTTTACCTTGTCTAATAGTTTCTTTGATTTAGTTAACGTAATTTCAATTTATTTAAGTTTTAAAACTTATATAAATTAAAATTGCGTTATAACTTTTTAACTTTATATAAATATATAGGTCTTGAAATTTATAAATGAGATATAATTACAAAAATAATGAAATTTATAAATAAGATATAGTTATAAAGACCTGGTCTTATTTTTTATATTTTTTATAATTATTATAATATGTTTATAAACATTTATACTATACCATTTATACCATTTATACTTTTATATTATATAACTATATATAAAGTTATAAACTTATATAAAACATTTTCATATATATAAACATTTTAGAGAAAAAATGTTTGTTTACGCTTCGATAATTAAAAAGTATTAAATGATCAAGCTTTATGCAGTGGAAATTTTATAGTAATTATTTCTATCAAACATTTTTTAAATTAGAAGAAATTTTACATTAAGATTAAGTATATGAGATTACTAATTGTATTATGATTATAAATTACTAATTATATTATGATCATAAAGTACTAATTATATTATGATCATAAAGTACTAGTTATATTATGATCATAAAGTACTTATTATATTATCATTATATAGTATTAACTATATATGATTGTAAAGATTACTAATAAAATTGATAAACTCATAAACATATATTTTGAATCACTGTTTTCTCTAGTTTAAGCGTTATCAAAAATCTTCATTTTATACCGTCTACCGCTTATTTATCATGCACCTGTTCTTGTGCAACATTATCTTCTACATTCGTATCGTGATCGTCTGACTTCGTAACCTGATTTGTAATCACAAATAGCTAGGGTAAAATAGTTACCATTTTAAATGTACATTTATAAATCAAAATTAAAATTATACAGAACAACTTTACATATAGAGGATTTTCTGAATGGAGGTTTTCCAAAATTTCCTGTCCCATCCATGTTTATTTTTGACATTAAGAAATTAGTAACGTTACGACATAACATGTGCAGTGATTTTTACCAGCTCTGTTCCACCAATTTTCTTTAACAAATGTAACTAAATTAAGCTAAAATGTATCTAAAATAAAAAAATTAATATTTAGTTATTAAACCTCTAGATTATAGCAAAGACGAATACCAACTGTTACACAATCATACTAGAGTTTACAAAATGAATTTAAACTGTTTAGAAAGCTTACGAAAAAAGTTCTTGCAGCAGGACTTTCATAACGAAAGGCAAGCAACTCATATTTTTTAATTGTGTCAATGTGGCCATCAATAATTTCTAAAACATCGAAATCCATTGGTTTGTTGGCATTTAGGAAGGTAGGTTGTCGCGAAAAGAACTTTTTAACTTCCATGAATTAAAATGGCGCACCAGAAACTCGTTTATTATTTATTTATCAGTTGTTTTGAATCCAGTTTTTGTAAGTAAGGGAAACTTGAAAACGCATATAAGTCTAATATTATTTTTTAGCCAATGAAAAATAATTTTTCAGCAGTAAAACGAAAATATTTTTTGTTTAACTGACTCAATGGTGCATCGTTTTAAAGTTCGTCATTTATTTTATATATTTAATTACTACAACTGATTGTAGGCAGTGGCGGACTGGGACTAAAAATCGGCCCGGGCATTTCATATTAGACCGGCCCACATTAGAGAAAAATTAATTAACTATTTTTTTATAATTTAACTATGAAATTTTTAAACAAATTTTTTAAGAACAAATATGTTTTTTTTAAATATTTAACTAATTAAGAATTTTCAAACAACTAAAAGATTTTTAAAGATCACTTGTGTCAGCTAGCTCGTCAAGTATTGTTTCGGGATCAAGATTGCTTAGAATTTCCTTTTCAGTATTCATGAGTATGAATGATTGTAAATTTTCTTGAGCCATACTACTACGCAAACGATTTTTGATGAACTTTAAAATTGAAAAACTTCTTTCACATGCAACTTGCGTAAATGAAAATGACAAAGTATATTTATAAGCTAACTTACAATTTTGGCCAAAATTGTAAGAAGATGAAAACCCCGCACCAATATGGCCAGTCCGCCTCTGATTGTAGGTAATCACGCTCTTGTCAGTTTTTGATAGATATAACAACATTAGGCTCTAAATAACTCTAAACAATCTAATCTTATCTTTAATTTAGAGATAAGAAGCAATACAAATTATTTTCTTATTATATTTGAATAAAGTAATAAATAAAGTTCATATTACATTGAAATATTCAACCGATGTTTCCATGTTATGTTGGTGGCAAGAACATACAATTTGTTGAAATTATTTCAACATCAATATTTTCGTAATACTATGCGTTTTTGAGGACTACTTTCTAATGCCTATATAAATATATATATATATATATATATATATATATATATATATATATATATATCCCAGTAAGCACAGGACGTTTTTAAAACGTTTAAAAAACGTTAATATTCGTTTTTATAAGTTTTTAAACGTTTTAAAAACGTCCTGTGCTTACTGGGATATATATATATATATATATATATATATATATATATATATATATATATATATATATATATATATATATATATATATATATATATATATATATAATAATATTCCTTACGAAATATATATATATATATATATATATATATATATATATATATATATATATATATATATATATATATATATATATATATATATATATATATATATATATATATATATATATATATATAATAATATTCCTTACGAAAGTAATATTACAATATTAGTTAATAATAAATATAAAGTAATATTACAATATTAGTTAATAATTAATATATTAATAAAAAATAATAATATAACAAATGCCACATATTTGCCACAAAAAAAAAAGGTGTAGAAAAATTGATCGCGATCTTTTACGTTTTAATTAGATCTTTTAATTATTATTTGGAACATTTTACGAACTTTTTTCTTTTCTATTGGGTCTTTGTTGCTAATTGATTTTTTTTTTGTTTTGATTAAATCTGTTTGTTCTGTAAACGACGCACCCTAAACACGTTAATTCTCGGCGATAATTCTCGGTGTTCGCATTTTGGTATTTTACAGATAGGGCACTAAAATATTACATTATTGCGCGCCATAATGGTAACGTCGAAAATAATAAAACAAAAACTTTGCGTAAATGCATTTTAATAAAAATTTAACATTTTATAAAAAAAAAATGTAAAATTTTACAAATTATCAACATATCTACATTAAATATTAAATTAAATAGATCTTCTAAAGGTATCTTTTCTTCTTAACATATCTTTTTGCGGCTTATCTTCTTTTAATCGATCTTCAAAAGGTATCTTCTCTTCTTTACTTATCTAAGATAAGTAAAGTAGAGAAGATCAATTAAAAGAAGATAAGCCACAAAAAGATATGTTAAGAAGATAATATCTTTTGTGGCTTATCTTCTTTTAATCGATCTTCTACAATTATCTTCTTGTAGCTTATCTTCTTTACATATCTTTTTGTGGCTTATCTTCTTTTAATCGATCTTCTACAATTATCTTCTTGTAGCTTATCTTCTTTACATATCTTTTTGTGGCTTATCTTCTTTTAGTTCTTGGAACGTATATTTTGTGTTGTACATAAAAAAAACAGGTTCAATATAAATATTATGTAAATACATTACAATATAAATATTATGTAAATACATACAATATAAATATTATGTAAATACTGTAAATACATTTTCAATGTAAATATTATATTATAATACTTATTTTACATTACATTACAAAGGATACCTATCATTAATATGTTTAAAGAATAAAGAGAAATTTTCCCAAACATTTTTATTATAAAAATCATAATATTCTCTGTATACAGCTTCGTCTAGCCTAGAACACTTTAAATCACCCTGTTTTATCCGACACCAAAACGACTCAACAAGATTTGTTGTTGCTCCAGTGTCAGGATCAACAAAGTTTATTGTAAGGTTTACAGTGAAATGATTGTAACTTAAGTTATGTAAATTAGCATAGGAAGCCCACTGATCTGAGTGTATTATTAATCCAGATGCAACCTGTAAAACGACAACTATCTTTACTTTTTATGAACTCTGATCTTTTTCATACTATTTACAATTTTATACATTTCGTCAACAACAAAAGGGCCCTTGGGATAATTATGTACAAACAAAAAGTAAAAAAGCATATATATGCACATCTATACATCTTTTGCACACACCATTTTTTACACATGTTTGACAACTCATTTGATCTAAATACAGCTCCATTGTCCATCAATAGTTCGTGTGGCGGGCCATGCTCCCTAAATACGGAATCCAATTGAATTAATATACTTTTTGTATCTTCGTGTAACATCTTTCTCCATGCTGCGAATCGACTTGGTCCACAGTCAATCATTGTTAGGTACGGTGACCCTTTATAGTGAGTTACGTCACATGCAATACGATACCATGTATCTGGTACATCTAGCACTCCTTGTTCCCATTTTATTGGTGCTGGATCAATTGAACTACATTGACGACATTTGCGCACACAGTCTTTAACGTCTTTTCTCGACACTTGCGGGATTCTTTGTTGTACTGTAAACATTGTTCGATTAACGCCAAAATGATGTTTCGAGTGACATTTACGAATTTCATCGGCAATATTTACCCCACATAATTCTTTAACATTTTTTCGTGAAATTTCATTTAACCACTTTTTTGAAACTCTTGTTAATACATCTGCTTTGTTTTTAGAAGACGGAACCCACTTCACTATGATGTTCATACTGTATTCCTTTATTAAATCGCGCAATAATGAAAGTCTTCGTTTGATTAGCATTTCTGATAGTCCATTTGACCGAACCCTATGACTTTCAGTCAGCACACTTTTTAACCATCCATGAACAGTTACCGAGTCAATAAATATTGATAGGTTCTTGATGTCCCACTTAACAGCTAGGTTTATTCCACGCACCACAGCATCTAATTCAGCCATATTAATATGCATGACATCATTTGTACTTCGTAGCCATGCTGCATCCTCAACTATTACGCCGTTATATTCGATTGCAACACCAATTGCAATACTACTAGCATCACACCACAATATTGGTCTATTTTGAATACCATCAGCATTCCATGTCCCATTTACAGGATCACTAGCTTCCAAACTGCGCAATATTTCGATCAACCATGATTGTACTTGATCTCCTATTAGGTCATCCCAAGCATCTCCTTGGCTATAACGTTTTGTAAAGCTGCAGGCAATTCTGAGCCAGTTTCCAATTGGATAGTGTCCAATCAAGTGACCACATATTGAAAACAATCTCCGACGTGTAATTTTTTCATTTTCAATGTCTTCTGACTTTGGAATGATATTGCCGCGTTTCCAACAAAGCACTTTTTATCATTTCTGAATATTTGCAAACCTAAAACTCGTGCATCATCACATTCTTCCGGCTCTTTTGTTAACAAACCATACCGTTCCAAGTGGTTTACGACATTTTCAACCGATGTCTTTTTCAAATCAACGATTATGTCGTCGATATAATGGTCAGTTGCTTCACCAATACCTGCATCAAGACTTAGCACTTTGCCTAAGATTGACGACATAATCTTTGGTGCAGAATTTAACCCAAATCCGAGTCGTGTAAGATGGTATTGCATCTCTTTGTAGACTACCCTCTGATACTTCCACAAAACCGGATCAATGTGTATTTGCATGTAGGCGCATCTGAGATCAAGCAGTGCAAATTTGTCACCAACTTTTCTCCATCTCCTCAATGTTTCATCGCAGGCATCACTTGAAGCGTTATGTGAATTAACGTATTGGTTCAACTCGCGAAAATCCAAGACAGGTCGTATCTTCCCTTTATTTTCTTGTTCAACTGCCATTAAAGCGACAATCCCTTTTTTATTATTTTCATCTATTTTACATGGTTTCAGCCAACCATTTTCCACCCATAAGTCCATCTCTTCGTTAAATTGATGTATCAACTTGGGTTTTACTTTGTACTGCGTGACAAAGTTCTTCAGTTGTGGTTCATTTTGTTTCCATTTATATTTAGCAGTCCATTTCATGCCATCAAAATTAGCGTCAAAGTCCTTGTCCTTTATATCAACAAATTGTTTTTCTGTGTGAATTGAAACAAAACCAAATTCAATTTTTCCATCGTATAGGTGCACTCCTCCACAACGATTAATAATATCCATACCAATAACAGCATCAATACCATTAACAACATTTTTTAAAACCATTACGGACGCTTGTAGTTGTTTTCCTGCAACCATCAATGTCACTATAGCTTCTCCCACTGTTTTCACAAGTTCTCCATTTACAGCCAGTACCATGAATTCGTTTCTTTTGACACAAACACCTGCTTTTTGAGCCATTTTGTTTGAAATGATGGTTCGAGTACATCCACTATCAACCAGTGCTTTTCCTACATATGTGTTCACATGCACACTGCATATCGGAAGCGCCGTTAGTTGTCGAGGGAAACAGCTAGCGCTGGAGGTTTCCCACTTGCGTTTCCCTGTTTCAAGGAGCAAAATCTTGCAATGTGTCCAGTTTTTCCACATCGAAAACATTGTATTCCCTCAGTAACAGTTTCTTTCTTTGCAAAACAGCTTCGAGCAACATGCCCAGGCTTGCCGCAACTGTAACAGTTGAATCGTGAAACAGATTTTTTATAAGCAGATTTTCTATTGCTTTCATGACTTCCAGAGATTGTTGTTGAAAGACATTCTTCTTTCGTTACTTTTGACAAAAGTACTCTTGCGTGGTTCAATACATCATTCAAGTTGATTCCGAATATTTTGACTTGCAATTGTAGCTGTTTTGAAATTTCACCAGACAATCCAGTTATAAAAGCTCGTTGCAATAATTCTTCGTTTTCAACTTTAGCCAACTGCATAAGTTGACGCAAACTGGCCATATATATATCAACGGATTCGCCTTCGTTCCATCTGCGATCCCTGAACAGCTCGTAGGCTTCGAAAAGATCAACCGCAAATGCATCCAACAAAGCTTTTTCGATATCCACGGCGGAGGCTTTCTCGTTTTCGCTAAGTTGTTCATACAAAGCAAATGCATCTCCTTCCAG